GATAGGAGTTTTGTCGATTCCGGCATACTTCATCCAAACACCAGCTACTACATCATGGGTGCTGATTAGATTTTGATGAGAAAGACAAACTATTTCTGAACAGATCGTCATCAATTTACATGAAACTACAAACAGACTAGTGAAGTGTTCCCGTGGAATTTGGGTCCAAAGATTTCGCTCTCACTGAGGTCATAGTAAACACTGCTTCCGACTTCAAAGAGGGAAAATAAATTAGCACCACATACTGTAGTTATTTTCAATATTCATTTACTCAGATCATGTGACACAAACAGCACGACGGCTCAGAGCAGATTCAGTTTCACTGGGATTTGAACAGGGATGCCGCTCAGCTGAGCTCACCGCACGTAAATTCAACACACTAATGAAGACTGACGGCTCAGACTGGGAGATAGGAGTGTGTGTGTGTGTGTTTACTTAAACAGCATGTTATTATGCATGTTTCCATGTAGAAGTGAATATTGCTGCTGTGCAGACAGGGTTGATTCCAATGTGTCTGTGGTTTGTTAGAAGGAGACGATTATGGATCGTTTTACAACGAGCACGAACAAATGATTTAACCCCGGGACTCACAAATATCCACGCCAGCAGGAGGTTCATGGAGCTGTCAGTCACGAGTGTGTGTTTCCATGTGTGTGTGTGGGTCAGTGTCCTAGCTACAATACCGTGGTTTTATATTTTTATCATTCAGACGTGGAGCTCATCTCCATCATTTCATGACACGTGTCTTACAGTAGAATCTAATCAGCTTACTAATTAAATCCTGCAGATCCAGCTCCCGCTCCATCTACACGAATGATCAAAACATACATGAAATGAAAACAAACACACGAGTAAATTAAATCAAAAGATATCACGATGAGGTGGTAAAGGGAAGAACAGCAGAAAAATGTCCTTCACTGCTGATGACCCACATGTGGAAACGTTAACCAAAACTCTCTCTCTGGTGTGTGTGTGTGTGTGTGTGTTTACATGTGTGTGCTGCATGTAAGGACTGACAGCTGATGTCTGAAATTAGGACCAGCCAAAGTCAAACCCCAGAGGAGACGAGAAGGTGCAGGAGTGGGCGGACATCTCACACACACACACACACACACACACACACACACACAGACAGACACAGACACACAAACACATTATAAATAGTAACCAATACTGCAGCTGTGTGATTGTAAAGGTTTCAGCTGAAACATTACAAATAATCCAAGAGGCTGAAGGTCTATTTTCCCAAATATATCTTGTTTTCTATAATAAGCACAGTCGCCCTCTTGTGGTTTATTGTTGTTTCCCTTCTTGTTTCTACGCATTTCATGATTTAAGTCAATTGTATTTGTGTAGCTGTAACTCCTAATGGGCCTACATGTGTTTTACATCCATTAATATCCAAAACTAGAATAGATCACACACTGAGGAAACACTGGCAACAGTGGTTTTGTGTGTGTGTGTGGTTTTTTATTTTGCTTTGACGATAAATCATATTACTCAGGATGAGCTGTAAATAAGGCTGTATATTCTCTCTCTCTACACACACACACACACACACACACACACACACACACTCGTATTGCATGCAGGAGCACAGATGGCTTGCTCTCACCCTCAGGCTGCCATTAGCAAACATGAACAATTTGGACGGCTGTTGTTGCCCCGTAGAGCACACACACACACCTTAATGCACACACTGGCAAACACACACATACTCACAAACACTTACACGGGCAGCTGTCAAACCGAGACGCAGACACAACACACTGGTGGTATGATGGTTCCAAACTTTTGTCCTTAAACATGAACACAGCTGTGGAGCAGGTGGAACAGCTTCATATGACATGAATAGAGAAAGATCAATATCTGTGGATCATGTGAATGGGACTGATGACACAGAGGACGCAGTTCTGCATTGCAGTGATATAAAAATATATTACTATAGTGTTCTTGACTTGTACAAAACAGCGAATTAAAGCTAAAACTGCCTTCTTCTTCTTCTTCTTCTTCTTCTTCTTTTTCTTCTTCTTTGAACTATTATGGCTTTTTCAAATTATTTGACTCCCTTCTGTTGTTATTGATGTTTAAACCCAGAAGCATCCTTTCCACTTACAGAAAGAAATGAGAAAAAATACAAACAGGCAGAGTGCTGGTGAAGAACTATATACTGTATCTGTGTCACTGCAAACATGAATTTAATCTGTGAGAAGCTGTTTTCAACCAATTTCCCCGTTTGCCCTTTAGCGCCCTTCACACACGACATACACACACGCACATCTCAATACGCTGACTGATCTGAAGACAGCTGAAGCAGGAGCAACTTTCGCTGCACTGATGCTGCAGTTCCTCTGTTGGCCCCCAGGTGGCCGTGAGATCAGTGTGTTTATTTTTAGCTCAGTTTCAACTGGAGGGCGAGATATTTATAGCCAAGGATGCTCACTGTTGTTCTGCTGCTGCTGCTGCTGCTGCTGCTGATGATGATGATGATGATGATGCTCAGCCACACAAACGCCCATACACACCCACACACACACAGAGGGAGAGTGAGTGAGCGATGTCATCCTCATACACAGGCTGGAGGGAATAACGCACACACATTTATTCCAGGACTAATTTCACACGCACTGCAGTCATTCAGAGGCTATCAGGCGCCTGGAGGAGCTTCAGCGCCGCACACTGCTGCTGACCGAAAAAGCTTCTGCTGACGTAAGCACTCATAAGCAGCACACACACACGCACACACATACATCACAATACATCAAAACAACAGCCAAAATTGGACAGACATGTAAGGAATAACGCACTAAGACAGAAACCCATACTGAAATCGTTGTAGTCTCCAAATACTGTACACAAATAAGCATAAGATTGTCATGTCCATTTTACACACACACACACAGAGGGAGCATCCCTGTGTGTGTGTGTGTGTGTGTGATGGAGCGTCCTGCTAGGCCTCCACACAAACACAAAGGTGCCATTTGTTCATCTAGAGTGTCACTCTGAAAGCTCCCGAACCAGCTCTCCACTTCACACTCCAGTGCCCACTGAAGCCCTGCTAATGTTCCCTGTGGAGAACTCTGCACGCACACACGCACACACACACACACACACACACACACACTCACAACAGTTCCACCGTCAGCTCCTGCCTTGAACACAATACACAAAATCCACTCCGCAGACGTGATGATGTTTCAGCAGTGATAGTGCCCAAGTGTAAACATCCTGTGACGGTGAGTCACTTCAAATCCCTACATTTGTTCATCTGATGGACTGTTTTGGATTATTGAAACATTACTTCAACGTCGCATCCTTCTTCAGCTGTTACTTGTACTGCACAGGTACAAATCGGTGATGCTGACTATTTTCTGTCATATGTCTATCACTACGGCATGACATGTTATTAACTTAGTAAAGTCACTATAGTAAATAAGAGCAAAGGCAGGATACGCTGGTGAAGAAACGTCTCTATAGGTTCGTCAGGGGTCACGACTATATTTGTTGGACGGACAGGAATTTAGGGGAGACTTTGGAGGCCGAACACGCAAATAAAAATCTAATGGAATGTAAATAGATTGATAAATGGTGGGGGTTACTGTTAGTTATTTCAGTGTCAGTTGTTGTTGTTGTTTTTCAGTTGCATTAATAGTGGAGACCACACAATGTTTTCTCTTTGACCCTCAAAATTTCGAGGGCTGCACTGGACACTTTGGTGGGCTGCATCCCGCTCATGGGTCACCAGTTGATAATTACTGCTGTAGGACCATGGTCCCTCCTGCTCACTACCTACAGTCCTGTATTTGAATTTTTTATCAATTTCAGGTCTTTAATACTGTTTGACTAATACAACGATGGAGTCTGTGTGACTGAATGATCGTCTTCTTCTGCTGTATGAACAAACACTGGTGAAACAATCAGTCACGGAGAGAAGAAACACAAATAAATAAATGAGGAGTCAAGGACAAACACAAACACACAAATAAGTGTGTTTGTTAAAAATATAGAAATACGGCTGCAGCATTTTCTCCTTCTGCTTTACATTCACCCAGCAGGTGAAGGAGGCACTGACGGCAGCGCTGAGCTCAACCAAAACAGGGCAGGGCTGAACACAGCACAGCATATAAATGTGTGTGTTTTGTTCTTGTGTGTGTGTGCTACTTTTCTGCAGTTGTGTTGTGTGTTTACTTTGCACTCCACTGCACAGAGGCTGTAAGACGATGAAGGCTGTACCTGTGGGCTGTAAACCAACCGTGAACGCTGAAAAACAAATTGACTTAAGTGGCTTAAAAAAAAGAATGGAGTTAATATTGACACAAAAAAGAAAATGACTGGAACAGTTAGTCAGTTATAGGGTTTAGTCCCAATGAACAGAAACAGAGCCACAACAGGCTAGGGGGAAAAACAGAGGTTTTTGGTGCTTTTCAGGAGTGAAATCACTTCTGTAATTTGTTCTTTTAAAAAATCATTACATTTTAAAATTAAACTAAATTACATTATTATGACTTGCAGTTTTACATTCCATAAAAAATTAATGCAAAGAATGTAATTAAAAAAACATTTAATCAAATAATCAAATCAATGGCCACATCACAATAAATGTAATTGTCACTTATAATTGAAAATACTCTGTTTATACTCTGTCACTGACTGTCACCTGTAAATAGTGAAAACATTTTTTTTTTTGATAATTTGTCAAGGTCATGGTCACTGCACAGACACCCGTACCTTTGTGTTTTGTCCACAACAGCAGACCCAGCAGTGGACAGTTATTTTAATGACCTGTTGAAGATTCTGCAGCTGCTGCGTCAAGATTCTGACCAGTTTTGACAACAGACCTGTTGACACTGTCAAGAGAGGAGACCAGTGGGGAGATGGCTGTTTACTGGTAAACAAGATTACTGTCTAAGAGTCAGACAGAACAGGTTTCTCCTCAGTCACTGTCTGACACTGTCTGCTGTTCCTCGTAACTACTGATCAGCTGACACTGTCTGCTGTTCCTCGTAACTCATTGGACACAAATTAAGTATCAACTCCATCTGAGATTCAATAGGAAAGACAGTAGTCCTCCATTAAGGCTTCCAACTTCAGTAGTAGTAGTAGTAAAAAAAATAAAAGTTCAGGAAAACATTGATATTAATGATCTTTTTAATTATTAAATGTTGGATTAGACAGTAATTTATAAATGATCTCAGACTAGACTGAAAATAATTCAGTATAAAAATTCATTTTTTAACCAACAGTTATTCTGTTCAGCCTGGATATTAAACTGAATTTGAATTTAATTGAAATTCAGTAAGAAATAAATAAATAAACAACCAATATTCTATGAATATTTTTCTTTCATCACCAAATCACACCACCTCTTGTATATTTTTCATCATTATAAACTTTTCCAAATCCTTTTTTAATACGATATGTAACAAAACAGATTTTATTTACCAGTTTGTATTGATTTATTTAAGATCACTGCAGAAAAGCATTCTTGTTTTCCTTCACTTTTCTTTATGATTTGCAATTAAACCTGTCAACAGTAGAACCTGAATTAAACATCCTGAGTAGGTTATTTTTTGTGCTGTTCCTGTACCTTCTTTAGGCCGTTCAGTTGACTTTTCTGCAGACATGCCTGTGCATTAGCAGAATTAAAAATGACTTGGGTTTCAAGAACTCCTTTAGTTCCAATCACCAGCACTTGTCCACAGCCAGCGTCATCCATCCATCATCTCAGGTGGTCTGTTAAATCACTGCACTGGTCTCACATTAGTCTGAAACATTTGCTGTGGTGAAAAAGTGATTTTAAAACCCTTCTACCCTAAATCCAGATGGATGACATGACTCGTCGACAGTGCACACCATTTAGTTTCTGCTTAGTTTTATTGAAGCTACAAATGTATCCTTACAGCCTTGCAGCCTTAAAACATACAAAAAACACGAAATGCCGATGAGTTATCAGAAAGATTTTCTCCACACTTCAAAGACTTCATCACATCGCCCTGGGGCATTTAATACTTCAAGTCCTAACAGAACGCACCACTAAAGCAATAAGTTATTAATAGAGATTTCTTTTTTTACAGATTAATGTATCACAACATCAACAGCAGGTTAAACGTGATTCACTTCAAAGGCGTGTTAAGCTTTAAAAAAATCCGCAGGAAGCTGAACGATATAAACAAATGTACAGAATTTGACACCACTTTGATACTAATACTGTCAAAGGCGTGCGTACACACACGCACAGACTATACATATCAACGAGATCCTTCGCAAAACAGGGGTCTTTTTCTCCCTCTAGTGGACGGTAAGGTAATTAAATACATCAAAATGTCAAAAAATAAATTTGATCCAGTTCTTTCTCAGACAAGGAAAAACAAAAACAATACAGTGATGTGTTAAGATCCTAAAATAAGTGAATACTTATAATATACTTATGATGATTCACATCTGCTTAGAAAACGGTTAATCACCAGCTTCACAATATGATATTATGGTCTTTGTAGTGAATCTAAAATAGAATCAACAACTCAGAATCGTTGTCTTCTTAAACATTGAGCCAATCTTTCTTTTAATTTAACTGACATTTAACAAAGAAAAGATGATAAATGTTAAAATTTTCCTTCCATCTTTCTACCCTTGAGATTTGGTATTTAAGCGCACATTCACACACATTCATTCACACACACACACACACACACACACTTCCTGCTGCCTCCTGCTGCTCTGCTCTGTCCTGACATTCAGGCTGATGGGTAACACACAGCTCCAGATCTCAGCCACCCTCTGTGTCTGTGCTGCACACCCACAGCAGCTGATGCGGTGTGATATCACAGTGGAGAATAAAGCCAAGCTCTCTGGGATCATTAATCAAGCAGGTAAAATAACTGGCTGAATCCAAACACGGCTATCAGTCCTCTACACCACTGCAGGTGACAGAGAGCCCACCCACGCCCCTTGCTCTCTCAAAGTTCAAGTCTTTACACATCCAACAGTAGGTGCGACTGCTTCAGTAATACTGCCACATACGTATATATATCATAAAGATTAGGTACTAATGATTGTTTTGATAACAGCATTTTGCCTCAGAATTGCACAAAACAAGCTTGGGATCAAACACCAAACCTTAAAGGTGAAGAATGGCCACTGTACTCTCACAGTTAAAAACCTGAAAAAATGCAATATACGCTGCGCCTTTCTGTGAATTGGTATTCAGATAACATGATAACCAGGAAAACAAAGATCATTTGCAGAACTTGTCATTACTGACAACACCTCAAGGGGGCAACAAAGGTTACACAAGCAGAGCATTGAAATTTTCCCCTTGCAGCACGTCAGTGAAGGCCTGACAGAACACACGAACAAATCGATTTGCAAAATCAACATCTTTGAAATTATGTTGGTTCCAAAACCCAAGCACCTTGAGCAATAAACGCCGCAGTAAGAAAACTGTTCGCGAGATGCAGGTGAAAAATACTGTCACAGTCCGGTCGACTCGCAGTGAAAACGCCAGCGCAACGCCACCTGCTCTGATTGAACCGTCTCCATGGCAACTAGCATCATCAGGTGTCCATAGACACTGAAGTAGGTCAGTTCCTTCATGTCTGTAACCACTTGATATCTTTGATGTTAAACTTTTTTGGCTCTGATGGAGGAACAGAATTCTGCTTGGTAATGAGGGCAGAGAGAGCACAAAAGCACAGCTGTGACGCTTCACCTTTAACGAAACAGGAGTGAACATGAGGAGAGAATTTAAAAGCCAGGGAGAGAGGGGGTGAACAAGGCTGTTATTAAACTTCCTTCTATTTTACCTGCAACTCCCTCACCTTTTCCTCTCTCTCTCTCTCACTCACGTGCGCTTTCGCTGTCTCCTCCAGCCTGAAGACTTTTTACATTTACATCACATTACGCAGTCCGAGATGATGAGAGCGCCATGTACCTGTCAGTCTCAATACAGTGCTGATCCTTCCACTAGATGTGTAGGAGGAGGAGGAGGAAGAGGAAGAAAAGGAGTCAGGGGAGAAGGCGAAGACTTTTCACACACACACACACACACACACAGTCTGGTACATGGGCACATAATGTAAGTTCACCTGTCAGCACAATTTCAAACCCACATCCAAACACACACACACACACACACACACACACTGACAGCACTGTAGCAATAACTGTGTTATTAATGCTTAAAAAAAGGCACATCAATTCAGCTGTGAACGTCTGTCGTCCACTCCACCCCAGAGACTACGAGTCCCCAAAAACAAGAATCCTAAAAACCTCGCTTGCTCTGTGTTTCATCTTTGCACCATTCATGATTAATGGACAAAACAAGGCTGTAGCAAAAATGTATCCCTGGAAACAGACTACAATTAGCTTTGGTTGCTGTAAAAAAGAGTCAGTATGAAAAGTAGAGAAAAAGACGTTACATCTGCACAACAGGCTTCTTAGTCCCGTCTTGTTTTGGATGAGTCAGCTTAATATTTGTACAGTTACTTACACTATCTATAAGAGGCACACACACTCAAACACACACATGAGAATATACCGTTTCTTCTTTTACTTGTTGTCCCAGTTGTCCCACTGAGGTGTGTGGACATTGGATCCAAACGTCTGTCTTCCTTTAAAGCCCTCCTCAGACATTCTCCTCACATCGTCTCTATTGCTTTGTAACTTTGTCCAGAAAAAAAACTTTGCAGCACAACTTTTTAAGATTGTCCTTCAGACGTCAGATGAAATGTTCTCATCTTGGGCTCCTAAGGCACGTGCCCTGTCCTTGTTTCCAGAAGCAGGTCAGCGTGATGTATAGTCACAGCTCTGAGGCTGCAGCTGGCTACTGTCGTCTCTTTATGTTTTTCATTAACAGAGGCTTAAATTCTGTGTCCAGGTAAACAGTAAAAACACTGTTCTGACATCAGAGCTGTTCCTCCGACACTCTCAGATTGTAAGTCTGTCTTTGTTCTCGCTTTCTACACAATCAAGTTTTTTTACAGGTTTAACTAAAGCATTTTTGTGTTGTGTTTTTTTTTTTTTAAGAAATATTTTTAGCTTAAACAACCAGATTTGGACTCTTGGTATAAAGCAGTGCAAGACAAAGTAGAATGAAATCCTCTCATTTTAAAATTGAAAGCATTTTTTCCTATTTTAAGTTTAAAGGTCAGTTAGTATTCAAAATATATATTCTTTTTTTTCTTATTGCATTATACCAGATCAGGTATTAGTATCAGGACGGCTGAAAACAGCCACTGGGTTCTGTCCTCAGTGGTGTGACCATGAGGTAGTTTGAGGGCACGTAACCTCTTTGTCCCCCTCTCACCTCCACCAGACTCCATTCGGGGTTTCCTCTCTTGTCATGGGGCTCCAGGACACGGGCAGGCTCACCGGCTCGAATGGACACTTCATGGTTTCCCCTGGCAGTGAAGTCATAGGCTGCCAGCACCTGAGAAGTAAAAAGGTCAGGAGGAGGGTCAGAAAGGCCTCAAGGAGGGACGGATTGATGAAGAAAATCAAATGATGCCTGGAGTTCAGATACAAAGTACAGTGATATGAAGTAGTCACCTGGGTATCAGTTTTAGACAGGAAGTAAAACTGTGACAAAGTGACACCAGCCTTATTTTCTGACTGTAAAAGGTGAATTGGTTATAATCCATTTTGCTGGAATTCATCTTATTTGGTTTAAGGTAAGGTAATAATGAATAAACTATGACCATATCTAGGTAATCCAGAGTCATGTTAGTGGACTACAGGAAACATTTAAGCCAGCGCGTAACTTGTTTGTCTGCTGATTAGTCAGTTAAATACTTAGTTCTTAAAAACAAAAAAGTCCAACACTGATAAATGAAATATTGTATAAAAATATTGTCTGAAAGGTTAAGCTCACTACTTGTGTCCCATCACATCACTACTCATGCACACACCCAAACTGAAGAACGTACTGCTAACCTCAGCCATAGCCCTCCACTAACTTTACACAAATTTAAACTTTATCTTGAACTGCTCTCAGGGCTTTAAAGATGACGTTCCGCCTCATTAGAATCACAATTTCTGTCTTGACGAGGACAACTGGTCCTGACAAGATCAAGTGTCTTTGCCAGAAAAGATCCCAAAGAGGTAATAACAACAAGCTCACACACGAGGCTCACTAATGAAGCCTGTGTGGGTATGACAGAGTGATCCAGTGGTGCTAATAGCGGAGTTCAGCCAACTGCTCGGTGTCATTAACAAACCCCTCACCTCAGCTTTGACATTAGTTCTGCACTGACAGTCTACATTAACTAGCATCTAATTAGAGTTTTAGCAGAAAAAGAGAAAAGGACAGAAACAAAATAGTGACGAGACTCTGGCCTTCAGTTATACAGGTTCATATCAAAGAAACTAACAGTAAACTTTACATTTTCTTTTATTATTGTCTATATTTTAGAGTGATGAGGCAGAATCATGTGCCTACATTTACCAGCCAATAATAAGTAAATATTCACAAGTAATAGTGGGATAAGGAAAAGCAAACACTGACAATGAGAATTAATATGTATTAATTATTATTATGGGAGTTTATCTCTATTCCCTCAAAGACTTTTGCGTAAATACTCATTTCAATTCAGTCTCACAAATGAGATAAAAACACCTTTATCACTAAATCATCATTAAATCACCTTTAATTGGGTCTATCTGATTAGTATAAGGCCTAAGTAGCATTACATTTGTAGGATATTTGTGAAGTGGAAGTTTATTGTGAATAAAGAGAGAACTGTATTTATCGTCTTCTTTTTTTATTTATCCACTCTAGTTGGTTTATTGGGCTTATGTTTGTGAACAGACTCCAGGTCAAGAGCCAGGGACTTGGGGGAGGAGTGAGCGTAAAGACCTGCCTCTCAAAGGTCACTGGAGCAATCACTCACAGTAACGGCCAATGTGGAGACATGTCTATCTGGCTAACAAACATACACATACACACAGGGTAAAACACTATACTCCCCTTTTTATCCACTCCCTTGAATCTCCTTAGACACATAAACCATGTTGTGAGTTGTGAGACACTCCCATCTCTCACAAATCACGTGTGCAACGCTGATGTAAATCAATCTATGAACAGTGACACATACGTGCACACACACATACACACAAAATCCCACACAGGCACACGCACTCACACATTATCTCAGCCTGCAGCACTGCTTCATATAAATTAACTTTCAACCTTTCACACAGTAACCTACTTACAAGGTTAAACATCTAATTATGGCCCTTTACATTAAAGTAACACACACACACTTTCATTAACATAACCTACAGTTCCTATCCTAACCACAGTCAGTTAATAACTGTCAGAGTCTTAAATTCAACAGATAACCATGAAGATCACTGGTTCTGTGAAGGCCAGTAGGTAGAGTGGGCTGTATTTGGCCTGAAGGTTAACAGTTCAGTTTCCCTACTGCGCATGCAGCTGTATTAGACGTTCATCATGGCTGGACCAGCAGGGTGCAAAAAAAGCCTCACGTACACATTGCATGAATCGTGCCATATTAATTAAACCAAAAGAAAACGTTTTTAAATAATGAATGTTCGAATGTATGCAGATTCAGTCAGATCACCCGTGGAGATGAAATCTGCTGTGATGGTGGTCAGACACAGACAATCGATCAATGAATACATCCATGGATCGATCAATCACCTGAAAGCATGGTTTGCTCATGGTAGTTAGAGGTCGGCTCTCCGGGGTGTAGGAGTGTCGTCTGATACCCGTCATGCTGTCCGACAGTGACGGGTGTGGCGAAGGGGGCGGGTCATCTGCTGCCTGATGATAGCGAATCAGTTTTGAGGAAGGAGCGTAGCCTCTTCGTCCTGTTAAGATTTTTTCAAGACAATACATCAACTAAAACCGTTTTTTTTTTTTACATCATATATAAAAGTATATTTGTATGTATGATTTAAATATATATATATATTACACCTACCTACATTTTTAAGTATTTTTTATTTTAAATATTTAACTATATATTCAACAAAATAAATACATATTGGCAATTATAAGAGTAGAGTGCTGAGCAATGCTCCAGTAATTCTAAATGTCACCTGTCATTAGCCACAAGGTGGCATCAATGAGCTGCGTTCAAACTAAATCGACAATAAGACTTTTCCCTTCCTATTTTCAAAGATTTAAGGACAACGTTTAAAAATGAAATTGCAATAAAATAAGATAAAGAATAAAAATGGTTAATTTGTTAATTTTTTTTTTACTTTTATATCAGATCAAGCACTAAATCACATCCCCTCCAATAATGTACCAGCTTTTCCATCATTTGTAAACAGTAGTAATTGTTGCATTTTAGCTAATTGAATTTTTGGCTACTCTTGCTGCTGTTGACCAGAGCCTGGAGGCACAGACCTATGTGTGATTGCTGCCTTCATGATGTGGCAAATATTTCCTACTAAACCAGCCAAAAGAAAATGGGTTGGATGCTTATATTATACATCATGGACATTGGAATGTAGAAGATTATAGACTGACTATAGACTATACATTTTTTATATTTGTTTCATACCTCCAGCATCAACCAGCCACTTGCGTCTATCTCCCCGGCTGTCCATCTCGCTGACAATGGCAACTAGCTCTCCTTTGGCCAGGTTCAGGTCCAGGTCCCGGCCTCCCACCACTGCACCTATTACCTGGTAGATTTTTCCAGATCCATGTTTTTCCGTTAGCTGCGTCAGGCGATGCTGAGAAGATGGGCTAAGAGGCTGATAGAGTAAAAGAGCATAAAAAAAAGATGATTAACTAAACTTCTGTCTCAGGTAAAAGAGAAGATCAACCCTGAGCAGAACAGAAAATGCTCTTGGTCATTAACAGAATGAAGAGAAGGGATATTTGTGATATTAACTTCAACACAATAATTTAAAATTAAAAACTTTTCAATAACAATTTAAAAATGTTCATAACTGAATGTAAAAGACCAGTGTTTTGCAGACTGGTATTATATTATATATTAATTGGCTGCCTGCTTTTTTATTGTATTTATCTTTAATTAACTATACTGTACTATATTTAAAATGCTGAGTCACAGTAATGTAGAAATAAACAGGTTACCAAAAGCATTAGGTTTCTGTAACTGTGTGAGCACTTACAGGATTAAGGAAGCAACACAACCAGAAAAACAACATTCACATGCTGTGATGTCTGCATGTGTCTGGTTCATTATCTTACATGATGTACAGTAGAGATGACTAAACGATGATGTTAGATGTTTGTTCTAAAGATAACCACCCCAAAAATGACTTGATGGGTCAACCTTCTTTAAATGCAGATATTTTTCCTCTTCCTATTTTTAAGAGTTAAAAATAGGTTTTAACACTGAGAACAAACAGTAATTATCTTGACTCAAACCTGGACAGCAGGGACATTGAGGGTGTCCTGGACACTCTGACACAGAGTCTCCAGCCTCCTCATTCCTTCCAACACTGCAGACTCTGCCCACTCCCAGAATACACCATGGCTGAGAGAACTGTGAGGCAGCTAAAGGGGGGGAAAAGACACATTGACAAGTTAAAAATAATCTCACCAGTTTACTGTAATTGTGCATAGGCTTGGTGGATTTCACTGCACACATAATTGATTTCAGGTTTCTCAAACCTGTTGTGCAAAGCTTTGGAAGAGTTGCTCCATGTCTGAGGCCAGGTCTCTATGCAGACAGCAGAATGTGCCCAACATGTTCCAGATCATCTGCAGAGCCACACCATTAAACCGAGGAAGCTCATTCAGGAGCAGAGTATTGATTGTCCTTAAGAAAAAATCAGAATAAAAAGACAAGAAAGTTTTAGGTTCTGTGCTGGAGCCAGTGATTTCACACAAGACTTGACTGGATCAAAAGATTCTTAACCTTGTCATTAGATACGCTCTACAAGCTCAACAGTAATAAAAGGTCTAATTGTGTGGATTGTGAGGATTCATATGAGTAGATTCTAAAAAAGAATTCTAAAAACTTTTAACTGAATGCAAAGAAAGGTGACATTCATATAAGAAGCCCGTAACTAGGCAAACACTCATCATTGTAAAAACATTACATTAAAAATGTCTTCAGTTTGTGGCTACACTGACTCATCTCTGTGTGGTCTGACATATAAACTTGTAATTATGTGACATATTTGTCCATGTTTGTTCTGGGATTTTAAGAAGGCCTACCTGTACGTGTTGGCCACAGCCTGCTCCTCATAATTCAGATTCGATTTTGCTCCGATCATTTCATAGTCCAGCAGCTTGTCAAGCCTCTTTCTGATCAGGTTCCTAGGACCCACCAAGAGGTCACGGAGCAAACACAGTGGCTTGTGGATCAATGTCCTCAACCTCTTTTCCTACAAGCATTAAGAGAAAAAAAAATACTACACAATTGTGGTCATTCCAAAACACTGCCTTACAGGGTTGCTTGAAATACTGTACACTTTATATATCAGAGGCTGAGTTTGTAAAGTAGTCATTGACATAACTAAAACTGAACTAACTCTATAAATCTATATTAACCATATTGCCATATTTAAAAGAGAAAACTGGGAAACACGTGTATCTAAGAGAGGTATTGTTGTGCTCACTTGAAAACTTTGAAGCAGCCCCACCAAAGACACTGAAACCCCAGGGAAGACTTACAAATGTTGGCAGTATCCACTGTCTCAGTGCTGTGGTGATCTCCTTGTAGCAAATAGGAGCCTTTTCTCCATCCATGTCAAAGTCAAACTCCTCTGTTTTGCAGGTCAGAAACCTCTGAAAATGGATCAGGGACAGATTTAAAATTAGTTTATTCAATTGTTTTTTAAAGCTTGTTCTTTTAAAGTGATGGTTTTCTGCTCACATTTTTCTTTTAACAAATAATTGTTCTACACATGGTAATTTGGGAAAAGAAAACTTAGGTGAACAGAGAATTTGTGTTTTGCTCCTCACGTATCTAAGAAAGGCCAGTGTTTGCACAGTGTGACTCAAATGTAATGTGTCATGTTTAAAAATAAATTCATGTTCCACTTCTGCATGAGTCAGAAACCACAAATTAGATCCTCTTTCAACTGACTCCTGGAAACAGGTGGTTTTTAACTTAAAAGACTAGTGGACAGTATAAAGCAGCGTCTCTCAAATGTTGCAGCCAAACAAAAAGTACTAAAACGGCTAAGGCAATTCTTCATAGTGCTACTGACTGTCTGCTGTGTGTCAGCAAAGGAGACACCTATTTCTATGCTCTGCGATGGTTACTTAATAAAACAACAATAACAGGAAAATGGTTTTTATTCAGTGAAGAAGCCATTTACATCTTACCTGTAGGTGGTGCAGATATGTCTCCACATTCTCGAGAAGCTCCAGGATGGCATGTTCCAGAAGATAAAAGAAGCCTTCCAAAGCATTAAACTCCTCATCAACCAGCTGTACCAGAAATCACAGAAAAATACAGTAAAATATTAAGCGTAATCTGTGTGTGTTTAGAGTTACGTGTACTTTACGTGACTGTGTGATTTGTTTGTTTTTTTTGTTTAGTTATCTTGTAGACATCCATGACAAAGATTTTTTAAACTAAGACTAGTTTAGCCTTTAAAATGCTTTTAAATTTTAGGTCTATAATTGAAAACATCACAGCTGCACAACAGCAGGGACCTCAGCAAAGCAAATACATAGAAATAAAACGAGTTAATGATTGCCTTCATTGTTTCTACCTGGAGCTAAGGTTAGAATATTTTATGAGTAAGTAAACAAAAACGTAAAAAAAAAAACAACCAATAACCACAAGACGAAGTTGTACAGGTAACAAGTAACAAAGACTTGATTCAGGAAGTAAAATAAATAAACTAAATGTGTTGATAACTAGCCAGACTCCGAAAGCAGGAAACATTAAGTGTCATCAACAGGAATCCCGTAGGAGCCAACGATACATCCTCACCAGGAGGCTGGGACTATTAAATCTTATCTCACCTTGGGTGTTATTCCAGTCTCATGTTTGATCTGCTGGCTGAGCCTCGCGGTCTTCTTGGCAATGCTGTGGGTATTTAGACGGTTGATCTTGTCTATGATAGTTAATGTTTCTGTCTTCTTGTATTTGTCAGCTACAAAAGACAAAGAAAAGAAAGTCTAACAGTCAATTTTATGTCTTCTCTTCCACTGGTGGTTTTATGATCGTCAATAAAAGGCAATTGACAGGTGAAACAGCTAAAGAGCTAGGATGTTTGCTGGCTGCTGTGTCAGTACTGAACAGCTTCTGAAGAAGTTTGTCTCACCTACTTCTCTGAAGCGTTTGTACTCATTTATCCTGCAGTTTAGGGCAATGGAGGTGTGAGCGGTCTGCTCCAGGAGTGCATAAGCTGGATGGGCTTTGTCAGTGTGTTTCTGAATGGTCTGTAAGAGGAGAGGGTAACGGGCAATCCGCTGCACTGGCATGACCAAGAAGAAACTCAAAGAAGTGGCATTCACTTCAGGCCTGAAAAATAGATGCAGAATATTCAGCAGCTAAACATTGATATATTCTTTGAACAATTCGGTGAAGCTTGTTTCCAGAAAAATAAATCATATGAACCTACGCTGAGGCTTTGATGATTTTGACAATCTCGTCCCAGAGTGCTTCCTTCTGTTTGTAGCTGTTCTCCACGAATGTAACTTGGTTGTAGTTTGCCAAGTATTCTTTGTAGGCTGCCTCAATGTCTGAAGACAGACTCAAGAACGAAGAACCTGTCAGGAAGGAAAGAAATTACAACAATAGAAAAGGCACAACAATGGGAAAACTGTTGACTTTATTCTTAAAGATGTATCAGAATAAATGTATGAGGAAGTTAAAAAAAGGAAGACCTTCATTTACAGTTGTGTTACGAGAAACCAAGAGAGTATTTACAATAAATGCATCTTCGTTTCTGTTACGTTTGGTCACAACTGCTACGTAAATGACAAGAAGAATGCCAGGGTGTCTTTTGTGTTGTGTGATCTTAGGAAGAATGCAGGCACACCTATTTATTAAAGGAGGCAGTGTGTGTGGTAAACAAGATAACATTTGTTTTACCAGTAAAGCTCTAATGTCAGTAACGCAACACAAACCAGACGAATGGAGAGAAAAAGGCCTCGGACTGAGGAGGCTTCTCTCTAACACTAATACTGTCACTGTCTAAGTCCTGGGCATCAATTTTAACACCAAAAACGCTTTATCTATGTTCTATGTTCTATGAGCTCTATGAGAGGATCTTTGAGTGAAATTAAATGTACAACAATGTGCCTTACAGAGTGTCTCAAGGAAGGCAGGATCTCCAGACTGGACCTCCTTCTGGTCCAGCAGGCTGAGGAGTCGACTTGACACATCAATCACTTCCTCAATGTGGAGAAACATGCTGTTCAGGTTTGCTAAAGGAGGCTGAGGAAAACAAACAAAAAAAATCATTCTTATCAGTGAACCACAGAAATGCAAAAGTCTGACATATGACTGTTCCAAAAGTCACTTAACATGTTAATATGTTGCATTAACCATGTGCAAGAAAAATGCTAATGTTACGGACAAATGGCAGAACTGTGGGTGCAGCAGCAGACTGGAGAGCGTGCACGTTGCCACTTGAAAACAAAGAATCTTTTTCTATCACAATGACTTCATTTATCTGAATGTTTTCCATTTCTCTGCTCAGTCCTCCTCCTTTCTGCTGGTTCAGTCTGTCTGTCTTCATCAGACTATGTCCATAGCATCACACATTTTATAGCACTGTTCTATATGTCTATATAAATTTTTTTTTGTTTATTTTTAAAATTTTTCGGACAGGTCATTTTCCTATGACTTTTTCCATATAATATTTTCATCTTGTGTCTTTTACTCAGTCATTTTTGCACCAGTCTGTACTTCAACCATCCTCATGCTCTTCTGCAGTACAGTCCTAGCAGGAATTAAGTCATTAAAAATCCATCAGATTTCACAGGGCCTAATTACATTACCACAGCAAGGATAAATGATTATTAAATTGTAACAAGCAATTGTTCAAACTTAATTAAAAAATACTACAATAAACATCGTCTGTGTAACAGAGACAACAGAAGAGAAGCAGCTTTTTTGTATTATGAGCTTTTTGTTTGTCTTGTTACTATATAGGCCTGGAGTATCCATTAAAACACATTACATTATCTTAGGACAATAACCTTTTGTCCTACTTTCCCCCATTGTTTTCGCCACGTTTCACTCTCGGTCTCTGACTTTAATCCCCATTACCTGTAGTTTCTGCAGGGCGTTCCTGATGGTAACAGTGCTAAGGTGAAGCATCCGTAGATAATTCTTCTCAGACATCACTAGCTCCTCAATGGCCAGCTGCTGTCTCTGGGCTGCTCTCTGTTTTGCTGCCTCCTCCTCTTCTTCAGCTTTTTTCCTGGCCTCCTCTGCCTCCTGCGCTAAACTCTCCTCTGATACACAGCTATCTTCTGAGAAACTGTCCTGTGTGGAAAGTTGTGACTTCGACTCATCTGCTGTATCAACAAACACATCAGGAACCATCATCGTACTTGATGTTTCTTCTTCACATTCACTCTTTTCTGTGAGTCCATCTTCTTCCAGGGATTTTTCCAGTGCAGAATTTTTCCTGGTGAACTTTTGTAAAGTAACAAGGGGAGCCATCAAAGAAGAGGATTTAGGTAGGTCTAGTGAGAATGAAGAAGTCTGAAACCTTCTCGGCACCTCCATGGTGAAGATCGCTGATAGAGAGAAAACATAACATTTAGTCACTGTACCACTTCTAAGCATTTGGCTTTTTAGAAGAAACAGATATAACAGTAATAAGAATTTGTGAGACGACAGGTTTCTTTTTAAGCACTGGCAACAACTACCTCTGTCGAAGATTAAATTTTATGTTATGAACTGCATAAAATAATAACAAATGTCTTTCCTGAATTCAAAACAAAAAGAATTCTAAACATCTGTTCAGCAGCAGGAACATTCTTGGACTTTCACAAGAGATAATCAAACATTCCTTTGTTTGATTTTGTGGTGTACACTTGAAGTTAAAGCTCTTACACTGCTGAGGGTGTTTTGCTGCACAAACCTGTGGTAATTGGCTCTCCTGACTCCACTGATATACAGCAACAGGACAAAAGCTACAGATGTGTTTTCATTGCTCATTGTACAAAAAGAGGTGGGGTGGGGAGGAGGGTGGCATTGTCATGGATCATCTGAGCTGTAGCACCACATGTTGGACCCACCAGGAGGCTGGCACACTGCTCTGAGAGCGACTAATGCTGCCATTGCTGTGAAAATGAGCTACTGGATGGTTCAGCTGCACAGCCTTGTGAGGGACTTAAAAAGTTGCCTGTAATGAAGGTTTTATTTGTGACTCTGTGATAGTAAATAAACAGATGAGTAACATGTGTTTGTTTTCTAGAGCAAATTTTATGTAATATAAATGTACGTATTTGAATAATATCTAAATACATTTAAATTTGTTTTCTGCAATATTATTATTTTAATCAGCATTTCTGTGCTATATTGGATTATCCCACAGCTAATCCTCTTTCAGAGATGTATCTTTTCCCTCCAACAAGAGGTTCAGTTAAACAACATATGGTGACACAGGCAACTTAGAAATGTCAAACATTGTCTTAAACATTGGCATCAAATGACAAGAGACTAAGTTAAATTGTTCAATGATAAGATAACACTGTAAATGTAAAGCTAACTGTTGGGATGAGAGTCAGGTTTCAAATAAAGCCAGACAGAGTTGTCCTTACACCACACAAAGCCCAGGGCTATAACATCTGCTGCTAACCAGCCAAAGTAAAATCACAGCAAAACGGTTTGGCATCCCTACACAAAGTCAGCTTCTCATTCTGACTGGAGAGAATCTTAAAGAGGTTTGAGGATGAATCAAACTGTTATTACCTAATGAAGAATCTTCAACTCAGCTGCAATGCGACGTGATCTCTCCTCTGTCGTCCGCTCTCTGTCCTGACCGAGGCAGAAAAGTGTTGCAGAGGAAACGCTGCTGCATGGAAAACACAAACCCACACGAGCTGTTGTAACTTTCTGCAGTGACTCACACACACACTGTGGTCTGCTGCTGGGCCATGTGCAGCAGCAGCAGAAGTCCTTCAGTGTATTTTCACCAAGTGTGTGAGGAAAGGGGGGATGGTAGTGGAATGGAGGGTGGGCTGGCTGTTTTGTAGGGGGAAAAGAAGGGGAGGAGGGATAGACGGCGGACCACACACACCAACACACACTCCTGAATTCACTCACACAATGCTGAATAAGCTGATTGACTGCAGCAGCTGGTGGGAAAGGGAAGCCGTCCTTACCTAGACAACAGGCGATTGGGTCGATTAGTCTTCCAAGAGGGATGGCCAACCAATCACTCAACACTGTGAGATGTCTCACGAAACAGTCAACAGACCAATGAGGAGTGAGCGCCGTGACTGAAGTTTTCCTCTCACAGGAAACAAAAGCACAGCGGGACGTTCCATCCCTTGATTGTCTGGCAGAGAGAAAAAAAGATTTAAAGCCCAGGCTTTTTGACATTTCACAACTGGAAATAAAAAGGTTTAAGGACGGTGGAAGTAAAACTTCCGTTCCTGTCACTCTCTAGAAAAACTGGATTTAGTTCACAGAACATCAAAATGTTTTGGTCTTGATTGAACTGAAATAAAAACGTTAAAAAACTCTGTCTAGGCTTTCATAGCAGGAATCTAACCGACTTTATGTTTTTTATTATAATTTAGAACATATTGTATATTATTACTGTTATAACATTCTTGCCATAATTATCTTACAATAGATAATACAGTATACATGCAGTACACATACTATGTATGTGGTTCTTTCCAACTATTCTTCCATACATGTTTTGGTTCACACTTAGTATGATTGGATCTGTTTACATGGCCTCATTTGTTCTCCTAGCTGATGTAATCAGTGCTGAATGGACTTCAACCGTGGTTTTGTTTTTGTTTTGATTTTTTTTATCTTAGTCTGCTTGAAATTTTGTCACTGTCCTTTTGCTGTCCTTCATGTTAGTTTCATGTAAAAAACAAAAAAACAAAAAAACAATGTCATTGACAAAGTTCATAAGTTGTTGACTTCAACACAGCTGCCAACAAACTGCACTAACAAATGTATTTTAAGTTGGGCCAGATAAGTGTTTTGTCAATTCTCCCTAAACTACTTAAAGTTGGCAACAATTCCTGGATTAACTTTATTATATATATACGTATATACACACACACAGGTAAGGCGAGGTAGGGCAAATTACCAGAATACGTCTTAGTAATTAAAAGAATAACACACAGACATTCAATCACTCCCACAGACAATGAGGAATTCAATGAAGCCAGACTCTGGAAGTCTGGAATGAGGGAGTCACAGAGAGGATCTTGTTCATCCGATTAGAATGCCATGAGGGAACACTGCAGTGCTGGATTCCTTTATGAAATAGTTTTAGACAAACTAATATTTCCTAGCTTCAGACCTGGTATGTAGAATCCAACATATATTTACAGATATTTTCCATAAAAGATTGTTACCACACAGAAGACTCTAGCTTGGCTCACCGTGTACATAAAAAACTATGTTTCACTTTGTATCTGAGGTTTTTAAACAAGCACATACACAAATGTGGAGAAATCTACAGTGTGAGTCTTTGCAACCGGCACAGGCTGGCACAGGAGGCGCCATGAAGAATATGTGGTTTCTGTGGGAATTGAACCCAGGACACTCTGCTCCCTGCTTTTTTTCCCACACAAGCGTGATAACTGCTACAGTATGGAACCACAATAAATGAATTAGTCTGAAAGAATAAATTACTCTGAAAGAGTGGTATTTTGTATCACTTTCAACCCCATCTATATTAAAAAAAGAAGAAGAAAATGAAAAACATTTAGAAATGGTCACTGTCATCTGTCATTCTACTCCAGGTTGAATTTCTTTTTAGCTTGATTCATTTTTGCAAGTACTTTTACCAGCATTGTTTCCATGCAATCTTCAAAACGTTTGCAATGAATAGTTGGGAAATCTAAACATAGAGCCATGTTTACTTTAATAGTTGGGTTGGGCTACTTAATGGCCAGTGCACACTGCTCCGATTTGTTGCCTCCTCTGTTAACAACTTATGTTTAGGTCTATCTGCAGCAGATTTAATGACCAACAGCAGGAAAACAGAACAAGGAGGAGAATTTAATGAATTCTGATGATTGCATCCTGTCCACAACCACACACCCTGAGTTACCAAAGCATTGTTTGGTAACACTAGATAAGATGAGAGGACGATGATAAGGAATGACCAAACATAATGTATGTGATCACTGTCAGTTTTGTCCTTTTTGTTGTCTGTTTTAAATGTAGAGTTAAAACAAAGGACACACAGAATATGTGCCTTATACTTTATTTCTTTGAAGTGTAAAGTGAACTAGGCAATTCTTATAAATCATCAGGAATTTGTTAAACACCAATGTGGCCTACAAGCTCTAATGCCCCAGTAGCAGGTGCAAAGATTACATCTGTGTTGTTTAAAATGCTTTATCGAGCAATAGTCTAAACATTTAACCTAGTTTAGTGTAAATTATTACGTTATTCTTTATAAACGCTCGTTTAGGGTGATAATTAATGACGGTCGTTTGGTAGTCACAGGTAATGAGAGGTGGGCGGCACCGCCAACAAAAAAGACATATATATATATATATGGCTTTTTCCCCAAAGAATTGTCTACTCGTTCGATCGACATGTTTGGCTCAAAGATGGTTAAACACCTGAATGCCGTGAACAATGTAGGGCATGGCGGGTATTTAAAAAAAAGAGTACAGACACAAAGCTTCGTTAGAAATAACACTGGGAGAAAATGCTACCTGTGTGCTGTCTGTTGGATAAATATGAGCAGGATGGAATGTCAACAGAGATACGAATTCAAATATTGTTTACCTTATTAATATGTAGTCTCTCCTAACCAAACAGCCCTGTCCGTCGTTATACCCTGCTGCTCAAACTCTGGTTCACCTGTTCAATGTGCAATCAAAGTAACGATAAAAGTACATTCTATATCCTATATTTCTTTTCAGAATAAAGGCACTCCGGAAGCGACAATAGCCGACTTCGTAAAGTAAGAGAAAATGAAAGAACAACAGCTTATGCAGAATTAGGATTCAATCGATGATAAGAAGTGAATTAACTGAAGCAGATCAGAGAACGCGTTCATGTCAGATTTGCAGCAAAGTCTATATTTATGTGCAACACAGTGAAACATTAGTGTCTCACTTATTTAATTTATCTAAGGCATCATAAAATTAATTTACAAAAATGGATACACAACTAATTAATATTTTCCAAATAGGGCATAGTTAATACAATATTGAAACTGTTTGTTTGGTCGTTTTTCACATCATAACAGTTATTTATATATATACAAATTAGATATGGGTGCTTGCTCTGTGTAGGCTTGTTTTCACCAGCATGCCTCAACAGCAAACAGACATTCATTTCACATTATAAGGCAAAAGGTAGGCAACTTTTTTTTTCTCATGGATTGGAGGCATACACTAAAACAAAAAGATTGGGAATAAAAAATGTCTAATAAACAGTCTTCCAGGTTTATTTGGGTTGTGAAAACATTACAGTTATCTGGTCACCACTGGATGTTATTGATTCTAACCTCAACATACTTGATCTTTAGGCACCTATAAACACTTTTCATAGATGAAGATAATGCCATCACAAGACATGCCTAAAATGTTTTTAGCAACCGATATACGATCATCGTTAGCCTGAATGATGACATCATCTTTAATTAAATAAGACCAATAGTGCCCATCAGATGTGCGGATAGAATTATGACAAATGACAGAAGACAGAGAGAATCTCTGTGTAGAATTGGGGACTTCTATTACTCTACTCGGACTGACAGGCTCTCTGGATTGGCCATTCTCTGTCCGGGGCAAATGAAGTGTTAAAATATCAGGAAAGTCAACAGTTAGGATTTTCCTAACTACCCTGCCACATTTCTCACATTGTCCATGGCCTGAGCATTCATTTAGTGAACTCAGCAAGAGCGATGAAATGGAGTCGCCCCAATTTGGCGAAGACAAGTAATGAATACTGCTGTGTGAGGTATCTGATGAGGTAAATCCACACGTCTCACACTGAAATACTTCATTCATTTGTATCATTGTTTTTACACCACACTCCTCCAGCCAGCCCAACAGTGGTTGCAAAAAGTCAAGTATATCATTGCTCTCTCCCAAACGCAGATAAGGTATGGCCTCATTTAGTTCTTTCAGAACTGCAAACAGTTCTCCTGGAGAGAAAAAACGTCCTGGGTTTGAAAGTGCAGTCAAAAACAATTTCCCAAGCTTTGGTGTTATTGGCCGGGTAACACAGTTAGGAGCGATGTCCTGCACAAGACTAAGATTGAGTACAGCCTGTAGTGATGCATTCAACCAGCAGTTGAGAGATTCATTGGAGAACCTGTAGATGGAGGCACACTGGTAGTTTGGTTTAGATTGGTCAAAAGGTTGGAACTCATTAGAAAATTTCGACCGCTCAGCTGAAATATCCGATCTGGACAGATTCTCCATCTCATCTTGAATGTTTTCCTCTGGTGCTGATGCACGGTGTGCTGTGGATCCAAATTCATAAATATATAGAGGTTTATACACAAACACGTGGATGTGTGGGATTGACGAACCATTGAATGCATCTGATGGAAAGCTGCCTTGTGCCGATGTAGCGTTGGCCTCAAATTCTGAATCAGTATTGGACCACAGGTTGGCGTCTGACTCATCATGATGGGAGTTTGAACAATGATGGTCACTTGCGTCTCTACCTCGGCGGAGGAGGAAAAACTCAATGAGTCTCCTAATGGCCTTGGCAACTGCAGCACCCCCAAGGTAGAATATCATTAATGACATGAGGATGTCTTTTCTACATGTACCACCTGAATCAGGATGTGATTGCAGTTACTACTGATGATCAGGTCACCAGGTCAGGTAGGAGAACTTTGTTTCTCGGGTCCATTATGTTGCATTACTGCCTTTATGTGCAACATGCTTTTAATTAGTAATTTGTGTTTATTTCTCACAGACATCCAACAACCTCTGAGGACAATGACATCATCAAATATCAAAGGTATTTTGAAAAAGATCAAAGATTTGATAGGGTACAAAAGCATTTTAAGGTACAGTGAATATGTATTTATAATTAAATTTATATTATTTTATATTATATTATTTTATATTTTATATTAAAATGACCACAGTTAAAAGTGATATTTATAGAAAATGTCAATGTGTGCTTGTGACCATGGTGGTGATGGTTTTTCAAATATTAAAATGACCACAGTTAAAAGTGAGGTCCATATTTTGTTTCCTTTTACCTTTTAATGCCATCCTTTATGTTTTGTCATTTCTCAATCTTTATTTGTTAAAGGTTTGGTTACTCATGTCTAAAAAGAATGTCCTTTTTCCATAGACAGAGCTTAAATACGATAACCAAATATTTGATCATTGGTCCCTAATCCTTTCTTGTCCGAAGTGTATATTTCTGGACTTGCTTGGTACATTTTCTGGTGCATAATAAATGTTTTAAACACCATCTTGTTGAATTGATCTGATACTCAAAGAAACAAGTATTGTATATGTTTTATTTAATCATGTACTATAAACTATTGTTCGACATTCCTCTAAATGTTGTATTGTGATTCATCCACGGCGCCAGGGGGCGCTGTTATTATTTAGTAACCTATAGTCCCGTAGCTGCGTCAGAGGTTAAAGGTTGTCACGGTGACAGCGCCACATGTAGTGTTGTTGTGTTGTGATGTGATGGTTGGCTTTTAAAGAAGTCTCTTTAGAGAGTTTGGTGAGTTTTCTCTTTTTTCTTGATAAATGAAGCGCTTCCTGTTTTTAGACTTTTGATTTTCAGAGCATTTGTGTCCAAAAGAATTGGGTGTTACCTGCCCATTAAAATAACATGTAATAGGTTTGCAAAGTAATAGTTCACGTTACGAGTCATTCAATTATCTATCTATCGTTTTTTAACAGCGACGACCTAAATACCTGTAAAATATTTTCGAAGCTTGTTTAATGTCGCTGATGCCTCAAATCCGGGATCTTGATTTAGCAGAAACTCTAAGAAGCATTATTGTAATTTACAGTTATATTTTTTGTACATTCATAAAAAAAAAATCAAGGAATAGATTAACGAAATAATAATTATGTGGCATACACATCCCGATTAGTTATTAGATATTTAATTTTTGGAAAAAATCTGTTCACTCAGGCATATGTTCAACACAGGTTTTGCAGACCTAAGATCCAGCCTCTGTGTCTGCCCTGAGGTGAGATGAGAAACCTGAAGCTGCTAAAAAACCTGCACAGCTCAGAGCTGCAGGCTCCTGGCTCACCACAGTGCTTGTCTGTTCGAACCGACACAGGATCACTGTTAGTGGCTTCACCGTATTCCATCACAGAGTACGACCCAAGAAACGGACAGGTGAGCCTCAGGAATATTAAAAAGTTTGGTTTTTTCCTGCTAATCTCTAACCTTCCTGCTTTCTTTTCTGCAGGTGGTCTGTGAGGCTTCGTTGACGGCAGATGGTTTCCTCCCAGAAGATGGCAGTGGCGTGGTGGTCGGACTGCAGGATCTGGCCGAATTGGAGTCTGCGTGTGTGGCCACTGCTAGTGGGGATGTTGTTCTCTTCAACTTCAACACTTTTCAGGTCGCCATGGTTTTACATGTTTTGTTTTGTTTTTTAGCAATATAAGTTTTCTAAGGCTTTAGGCAACCCACTTTGTAGGAAGTGAGCTTAAGAGAGTATTCATCTGTCTTTCAGTGTTGAAAAACCACAGCTCTTGAACTGTCTTTTCAGATATTTTTTTATTTAAAAAAAAAAGTTCTGTTTTATAGTTGGAATGCGTTGGCAGCGTAGACAGTGGCCTGACTTCGATGAGTTGGAGTCCAGACGAAGAGCTTGTCATTCTCACCACCGGTCAGTACTTAATAAAAAAGTGTCAGCTTGAATTCCAGAAAACTGAAAAGCAACTAGTTTGGTGCAATTTTGACATGAGTATTAAGGTCTTTCAATAACTAATAATTTATGCACGTGCAGGACTGGAATCGATCATCATGATGACTAAAGATTTTGAGCCCATAATTGAGGTTGGAATTCACCAAGATGACTTTGGTGAAGGTAGAAATTGACTCAGATTTGTGCTGTCCTTTTGAAGATGCATAAAGATTATTCAAAAACATAAAAAATGTCATATGATTTATGTAAATGGTCCACTTATCATTAAATTTCATTTGCAGGCAAGTTTATAACTGTGGGTTGGGGAAAGAAGGAGACACAATTCCATGGCTCAGAGGGGAAACAAGCAGCACAAAGAAATAACCTGGTCTGTTGGAAATACATGTGACAATTCAGATGTTTATGAAGAATAAAACTAAATATTAATTAAATATTTTCTGTTGAAAACTAAACACAGGAAGTGAAGGCAGCAGCTGGGTGGGACGACCGCAGGCCGCGAGTGACGTGGCGAGGGGATGGTCAACTTTTTGCTGTCAGTGCCATTTGTCCTCAGACTGGGGCCCGGAAAGTGAGGGTGTGGAACAGAGAGGGTGTCCTGCAGGCCACTAGTGAGGCCATCAATGGGCTGGAGCAGGCACTGTGCTGGAAGTAAGAGTCATTTTCTTACTTCATACTTTTTCTTTTTTCAGGGTGGTTGTCAGGGCAGAGCTGTCTCTGTCGGTGGAATAGATTTTTCAAAACCTCTGATTCCATTTCTGTTGTTTCCAGACCCTCTGGCAGCTTGATAGCCAGCACTCAACGCCACCCAAATAAACACAGTGTGGTGTTCATGGAGAAGAATGGACTTCTGCATGGAGACTTCACACTGCCTTTTAGCAAAGACCAGGCCAAGGTGGGATTTAGCAAAATCTCACTTTATAAATAAAAAAGGACATAGAAAAAACCCACTTTTTTTTACCTTTTCTCTTACCTTTTATACTTCAATATAGAACAAAGTATAACAACATAATTTTAAAAATGAATTTGTAAAAGTACATAAACACATATTTGAAGTGTTCAACTGCACCCATAGAGTTCCCTTTGATTTGAGTCTCTCTAAGTTTGGTTTTAACAGGCTATCAAATTTAATGAAGACTTGTGTGCGTAGGTGAAGGAACTGCTGTGGAACAATGACTCTTCGGCTCTCGCTGTTTGGTTGGAGGACATGACTCCTGGAGAGGATGGACAAGTGAACACCTACAGTGAGTTCAACTAAGTTTAACTTGAATATGTCATTCATTTGACTTAAAAATGAAAGAAAAAAAGAATGTTTGATTTAGATTAATTTTAAAAATCAGATTCAATAAAAAGAAAACAATGGTTCTACACATTAGAGAAAATTAATTATTGTAAAATTGTTGCATTTAACACAACTTGTTGAGTCTCTCTTGTTCATTTTGTTGTTTGTTTCCTCTGCAGTCCAACTGTGGACCATGGGAAACTACCACTGGTATCTGAAACAGAGCCTGGACTTTGGTAGAGATCCTCAAAAGGCTCCGATCTGTGTCTGCTGGGACCCTGAGCGCCCCCTAAAGCTGCACCTAATAAGACGCAACTGGATAACCGTCACCTACGAGTGGGGCTGGACAACAGAGCGCAGCCCAGGGCTGGACTCCACTGACAACGCTAATGTAGCAGTGATTGATGGAGGTGAGGGACTACCTGTCAGTGACTTTTATAACAATAATAAAAAAAGACTAACTTTAACAATGGTCTCATTCCCTCCAGACAAAATCCTGCTGACGACCTTCAGGCATGGCGTCGTTCCTCCTCCCATGTGCTCCTTCGAGCTCCAGCTGAAGGTTCCAGTCAACCAGGTGACCTTCCTCTGCAGACCTCAGAGGACCAATCAGATGGCAGCCTATACTGCCAATGGTCAGATCTGCATCTTCAGCCAAGGTGGGTTGTTGAAGGTGTTGAGCTAATTTAAAAAAATAATATTCAGTGGGTGGTTAACTGTGTAATAAATTTGATCTGAAAATATTGTTAAGATATTTGCAATATTTCATTTCACATGTGAAATATCGGAATTTTGTTTTTTATTAAGGATTACATAAATATTCATCTAATATTCATTGGTGCTGGTTCATTTTATTTTGCTTTTATTTCTTCACTAGCTATTACAAATGTCAATCTCTTTGTTCCATTTTAGTAATCTGATGTTAAGCATCTGTTAACTATGCTGAGAGTTTTCCTTAAATTGCTTAAAAAACTCTATATTGTTGTGGCTACAGTGTTGCGGTATATTGCAATATATGGTATCGTTGTCCCATATCATGATTAGTATCGTATCGCCAAATTTTTACACACCTCTAGTGGTTACTTAGCATAGGAATAATATTTTTTACGCAGGGTTAAATTGTTGCAACTTTTTAGTAAAAATATATATGCAAAAATGTCATGACTTTCTTGAGTTCCATTTTAAAGTTGTATTCCTACCTGTGCTCTATTTTCCACATGTACTGGTCCAGACTCAGTGGGAGAATCTGATAATACAGCTGATGGTTTCAGGATTGTCTCTCGTCCCCTGGTCCTCCAGAAGTCCTTTAAGTAATGCTACATCCTATGACGCTTCATCTCTTCTTGTTCGTGTGTCTTAACACAATGTTTTCTAAATGTCGTCTTTTCTCCTCCCACAGCATGACAGCTCCTCATGATGACCCTCTGTGTCTGCGGCAGCTGCTGTGGTTGGATGACGAGCTCTTCTTGGCAGTTGGTTCTGGTCCGCTGCCGTCGTCCTCCACGGTGCAGATGCTTTGTCCTGCTCAGGATGACAGTGGCGCACTTGTTGTCAGGTCTGCAAACAAAACAACCTAGGATGTCATTTGAGTTTCTGCAGCATCGGAGACAGAGTTGAACTAAAGTTTTTATGTCTGTAAAAGATAAAATCACATTTCTAACTATTTTGATTCCAGGGCTGAGGTGGAGGTCGACGGCATCGTCGTTAGCTTGGTTCATTCTCCTCAGACTGGCACCGTGGCTCTGCAGCTGGAGGATGGACAGATCAGGAAACTGCTCTGGGGTCAGTAAGCAACGTTTACATTTTTACTATTTGAATATTGAGTGATTCAATATTTAGACACTTATTAGACACTTATTTTTTTCCATTGTTTCTTCAGTGACCACCTCCAAAATATTTTTTTCCATTGTTTCTTCAGTGACTGTCTTTTATGTGAAGGTTATGGTCTCAATACCTTAATTTTAGTTAAGTCTCGTTCAGTTTAAAAATACTTTCATACTGTCTTTGACTGCAGTTTAATCATAACTAGTCATAACTGATGGCAGGTGTTTACATGTCTCTTTATAGATGGTCCTGATCCATCAGTACAGGATTGGAGGGACTCAAATGGCTGCATCATCAACTTCCCTGTCCCCTGCCTCCAGACTGCCCTCTGCAGCATCAGTGGAGAGGTTCACACAATGCTTTTATTAGATCATGTCCAGAGCAACATTATATTAAGCTGATATCTACAGTAAAACTATTAGAAGAAATTCATGTTTTTGTCTTCCTCCACTCAGGAATATCTCCTCGGTCTGACAGATAGATCCCACCTGTACGCTGGAGACACAGAGGTAAACTGTTACCTCTACATTTCTTCTTCTTTCCCATGTCCTCCATATATTAACCTCTCATCTTTGTTTTCAGCTGGCCTCTAATGTTTCTTCTTTCGCCATTTGCAACAACTTCCTCCTCATCACTACACACTCCCACACCTGCCGCTGCCTCCAGCTGAGCAAACTCGGCCTGAAAGGTGAACTCTTCTTATTTACTATTACATTTATTTATTTAGAATAAAACTGACCTTTAAGTTTCTGCTTCTTTTACACCTGTGTAAAACCCTAGAGAAAATGTGTGTTGAAGTTCTACGGGCAGAACTGAAAAAAATTGAATAAAAAGATTTTGAACTCAAAGTAGATAAAAACCAAAGTTTAAGGCTGTATTGAAATTCTTGCCACTAAAATTATACAACGATATAAATGTATTAAAACCGGTCAATTTGATTAAATATAAATCTTTTGCCTGTAATTGTTGCAATTAGTTTTTTTTTTAATCCTGGCTGCTCTGTTGTCCTTCAGTAAACAGGCATATTGGTGACGTTGACACTGTATTCAGTTGTGTAGCTAATTCATATGACCTTTGACCTGACAGGGCTACAGACAGCTCTGGCCACAGATAAAGGTCAAAACGACGAAACTCTGCGTCGGGTGGAGAGAGGATCCAAGATCGTCACTGTGGTTCCTCAAGACACCAGAGTGATTCTACAGGTCAGATCAGACAACTCTGTTGTTAATGTCCAGTATGTCTTATCTGTGGGGTTGATGTAGTTAAGGTGTACAGTTATTCTCACTCCTCACTGTTTGTGTCCAGATGCCTCGTGGGAACCTGGAGACAGTTCATCACAGAGCTCTGGTGTTGGCTCAGCTCAGAGTGTGGTTGGACAAGTGAGTTTGATATTTGTCCTTTGTCTGCCATCAAGGTCTTTACTTAATCTATTCCTTTACTCCATTTCACTAGTATAAGTGAAGTATAAGCATTAAAATTGCATTTGGATAAAATAATAAAATGTTGCTTTTTTTTTTTTACACAGCTTGAAGTTCAGACAAGCCTTTGAATGTATGAGGAAGCTGAGAATCAACCTGAACCTCATTTATGATCACAACCCAAAGGTACACCATCAACAAACCACTGACAGTAAATTTGAAATTCACTTGTAAAATGTCAATTGTAAAAACACTGTCACAATTTTTAGACTGATTTTTTTTTTTTGCCCATTTATTACTGCGTAACTGTACATGAGAGGGAATAAAATAAACTGACTTTAACCTGGACTAATTTCTTGAAACACTCTTCCATCTTCCTGCAGGTTTTCCTGGACAACACCAAGATGCTTATCACACAACTGAACACCATCAACCACATCAACCTGTTCCTCACAGAGCTCAAGTACGGCTTTGTTACATTTGAAATAGCAGCATGTAACAATAAAAACAAACAAATATTTAATTCACTTCATCTTGTTCTGCCCAGAGAGGAGGATACCACCAGCAGCATGTACCCTCGTCCTGAGGGCAGTCCAATTGGGCTGCAGCTCGTCTCTGGACAGAAGAAGGTGGATGTGGTCTGTGATGCCTTAAGAAGTATGATGGAGTCAATGGATCCAAACAAGTAAGTGATGCTGCCATCAAAATGTGCAGTAAAGCAAAAATAATGGCTTAGTGCTAACCTGGTATTAACGTAGGTCAGGTTTATAGTAAACAGATTATTTCTCATGCTGTCCACTCAGGTTCTGCCTGTCCATATTGACGAGTCATGTCAAAAAGACCGTCCCTGAGCTGGAGATCGCTCTGCAGAAAGTGCATGAGCTTCGAGGTAAGAACACAGCCAACGTAATCTCACATCTCACACACCTGCACACACACACAGTAATCAATATAAAGTAAGATTTTACACATTTATTTTTCCTCCTTTCTCTTTTTTAGAGAATCCTCCTCAAGTTCCAGGCGCCGTTACTGCCGAAGAGGCCTTAAAGTACCTCCTCTTTCTCGTCAACGTCAACGACTTGTATGAACACTCTTTGGGAACATACGACTTTGACCTGGTGCTCATGGTGGCGGAGAAATCACAGAAGGTCAGAGAGCAGAGCTATAATATGAAAGCACCACCATGCAGTTGAGAAATAAAAGTACAAGAGGCAATAAATCTGCCAACAATTTTCCTTTTGAAACCTTAACTCGTGCTCCAAGTGCTCAGTTAACTTCATTATTTATTGTTTTCCATTCATTTAAATTTAACTCTGCCTTTTATACCAACAGGATCCAAAGGAGTACCTCCCCTTCTTAAACATGCTAAAGAGCCTGGAGCCAAACTACCAACGCTACACCATCGACAAACACCTTAAACGCTACAGGAAAGCTCTGCTGCACCTCAGTCAGTGTGGTGGGTTTTTTTTTTTTCCAACAATCTTTTTCCTTTTGTTAGATCTTGATAGCCTTGCTCCTTTTTCAATCGTTAAATCTGTGTGTTTTGTGTTAAGGACCGGAGCACTTCCCTGAAGCTCTGCAGCTGGTCAAGGAACAAAAACTCTACAGTGAAGCTTTGAAACTCTATGTGGCAGATGCTGCTCAGTACAAGGTTCAGTCTCACATTTTGGAATTGATATTAAGAGTTTGGAACCAACAAGTGGTGCTGAAAAATCACTATGACCTTGACCTTTTGTAACTTTGACCTGCAGGCTTTGAGCTGTGCCTATGGTGAGCACTTAGTGGAGCAGCAGCAGGCGGAGCAAGCTGGCCTGTTGCTATGGCGATGCGGAGAGACAGCCAGAGCCCTGCAGGCGTTTGCCAGTAGCTCCAGCTGGAGAAATGCTATCTGTGTGGCACAGCAGATCCCACTGCCATCTGACCAACTGGCTCTGCTGGCCAGAGACCTGGCAGGTAACAATAACAGTAGCTACAGTTTCCCCTCAGACTCACACACTAAAGTCACTGTGACAGTTTGAGGACACATGATTCACACACACACACACATGTGGTTACTCCGGAATATCCACTATCCTTATTCCTCTTTTTACAATAATTGTGATGCTGAGAGGGCGTCTGACCATTTAAAGCATTTACTATAGCATCCACTAGAGGAAGACAAACCAACATTTTTTTCTTTTGACTGTAGTAAAAAAAGGATAGTGACATTTTATTTTTATGTCAATATGAAAGGCAGAAAAAGTTCAGAAACATGATGATAACATGACATAAAGACCAAAAACCAACCATTTCATAATTTCGCTGTTGGAAGTATTTGGGTTTTTACACATGAACCCTTCCTTTCCTGTTTCAGAAAAGCTGACTGAACAGAGACGGTACTCAGAAGCTGCTTTGTTACTGGACCAGTACGCTAAAGTAGGATTTTACTGTTTAAAAAGTATTCTAAAAACATAAAGATAAATCTGTCTTCAGCTGCTGGTGGACACTTACAGGTTTGTGTCTCTGTTTCAAATAGGACTGTGAAGAAGCCATTTTGGCTCTGATCACTGGTGCAGTCTGGGAGGAGGCACTTCGATTGGTCAGTTTGCCAAAAATCTTTAGCTACTTCTCTGGAATTGAAAAAAAGACGTTCTTAGTACATTTTGTATTTAACCTTTGTCTGTTCCAGATTTATATGCACAACAGACAGGACATCACAGAAACCAACCTGAAACCAGCTTTGTTAGAAGGTAGGAACATGTCAGGAGTAACTGCTGTTTCACTGGTGCAGATGAAGTGAAATCAAAGAACTTTTTTTCTTGCCCAAGCTGCCAGCACCCAGAGCTTCTTCCTGGAGACTCAGGCAGCAACGTTCACCCGACACAGGACCCGACTGGCTGTGGTCAGAGAGCAAAAGGAGAAGGCCAGGCTGGACATGCTGGGTGAGGAAAGGTCCAAGTTTAGGTGACAGTCAGTAGAAGAGCCTATGATCTTATCAGAGCCATTGTTTCTGCTTTATACCCACAATATTTTAAAATACACCTCCAGGAAGTTGTTTCTAACTTTTCAACTATCTACAGTATGAAGACAGTGTTCTAGACCCAGTCTGATTGTACAGCACAGGGGAATAACTGATTTGCTGTTCTCTATCAGATGAGGATGGTCCAGATTTACCTGATGCTGAGCTGTACTCTGAGGCCAGCAGTGTGATGACCGGCTCAAAATACTCTCACAGCAACTCGCGCATCTCTTCGTAAGGAAACCTTACTTGTTTTCCCACGTGTGAAACATTAATCCCACAGGACTGAATAATTGTGATTTTGCCTGCAGGAGGTCGTCGAAGAACCGTCGGAAGGCCGAGCGGAAGAAGCTCAGTCTGAAGGAAGGAAATCCATTGGAGGACAAAGCTCTGATGCACGCCCTGGGTGAGATCATCACCACTGTGGACAAGATGAGAGGTACACATACAGTCTGCACATATATTGTATATTAAGTACTTTTGTAATCCACCTCGGGATGACAGTCTATTTCTTTTATTCTGCAGAGGAAGTGCACAGCCTGCTGAAAGCTCTAGTTCTGTTCCAGTTTGACAAACAGGCAGAAAAGCTGCAGCTGAGCTATGACCAGGCTCTGCAGATGATGGAGGCAGCAGTGCCTGAGGTGTGGCCTGATAATCTCTGTAACAACCAAGCTACAGTAAGTACAGTACCACAAATGTACATTTTACACAAATAATAATTCAATACAGTTATTTGTTACTTTTAAGACGATTTTTCTTCTCCAGCTGACCGGGCCAAACTCGACTGCAAACAGCATTATGGCTTCTTTCCAGCAGCAGCAACAACAGAGACCTGTAGCTTCACAACCAGGTGAGCAGCATTTTTTGAATTTGCTGCCAACATTAAATACTAACAGAACTGATCCATTCTGGTTTTTCCTTTGCAGATGTCGAGTTTCCAATGGCACCAAAGATGAGAAACGGTGTCAAATGGAAGCTAACCCTTTTTTAGTAGTTTAATTTTTACATTTTTTTTTCAAGTGTAAAATCCAACGTTAATCCTGTAATAAACAAATATTCACTTATTATACACCTATTGTTTTTATTTTTATTTTTAACAACACATGGTCCCAACTACAAAAGTTAAAAAAAAAAACCATTCGATTTAAGCTTTTAAAACAAACCAACTACCTTCTGATGACAACAGCCCTCTGCTATCACTAGAGGGCAGTAAATAAAACCGACTCAGAAAAGGCCAGGTTGTCCAGTGAAAGTCTGAATTCATTGGTCTGGTTCCAGCCTCATCTATGGTCATAGATCTTCTTCTACTTGTCATGGTTTGTTTTAGCCACAGAGAGAAGACAAGCTCGGACACTAAGAAAAAAATCACTATGAAACCACTGGTTCTGCAAAGTCAAGACAGGACAGTTGAGTCCCAGCGAACAGCCTTCCAGTAAATAATCTTCCTGGGGTAATATTTTGGCACAGCCATCTTGGACACCCTGAAACAGACTTAGGAAAAAGAAACATTGCTTACTGGGTGTGGAAATATATTATAAACTCCTAAAGGCTGCAGTGGGCTGTACTGAAGTGGCTGAACTTTCCATCAAACAGAATGGAAATTCTTGCAGAACATGATTTTCGAGAAGAAATTCCAAATCACTAAAATCCAATGTGAACATAGAACTGTTCATGTGAAGACCTGCTTTCTCGTTAGCATCATTGTCTCATCACACCTTCTTGACTTGTTTTGCAGCAGCTGCTGCACGCCTCTGGTTGATTGCCTTGGTGGTGACACGGAGCTTACGTAGACGTAGCTGCCGGAGCCTGAGCTGCAGATCCTTGGTCAGTTTTCCTTTGGGTAAAACCTCTTTCTGCTTTCGTGCTGGTATCTTCGTGAGGCGGAAGTCACAAATCGTGGGGTAGTAGTCGTACATGACCTGGCAGGTGCGGGTGGAAGGAAGGTAACCTTCCGCAGTGACTGTCACAGTGTACTCACCAGGATTAAGGAGGCGCCAGTAGTCTCCATCAGCCACTGGAAAATGAAGAAACAGGAATAAAACATAAACGATTTTTCACCTAAATGCATTTTTTATAACAAAAACAAAATGAATAAATAAATAAAATCATCAGACAACAGACTACCTCAGATCCGTGATTCCCAACCACTGTGCCGAAGCACTTAGGTGTGAGATATCAGATGAGCATAGCAAATTTCACTTCATTGGGGTGAGAACCATTATTTATTTACTGCAAATAATATTCTTATTCATCCGTGTGCCAGTGACAAGCAGAACAATTAAATACTCTTCCACTAGGTGGAAAAACTAAAACAATGACAACTAAGAGCTGTTAAAGAAGCTCTTTGTCTTTCTTCAATTCCTCAGAATACATCAATGCTGTGTTCAACTAAATAGGCCAAGGTTTCACACTGACGTAAGTGAGTAAATTGAAAATAGATCATCATTGTAATTCAGTTCTTATCCCTTTTGTGAGAAAAACTGCCTTAGATGAAATGTATAACTTCACCTGATCTTATGTGATGATCAATATCTTCAACTTTAATTATAGCATCTGCTATTCCAGCCTCTGTGTCTTTGTCTCGAATCACGCCTTTAATTCCTCTGTGAACCTGAAAATATAGGTAAATATAAGGATCTTGTTTGGATGAGGTCATTTAAAGAAACATTGAAGTGGAAAGATACAAAGATACTGACCTGCTCCATGTAAACCAACAGAGACTCTCTGTTGTTCTCCCACTCAGTGGGAAGTTCACTGGCATGAGGAAATTTATCACATGACAACTCCACCGTCACTTCAAAACAGTTAGTGTGAAGGTAGCTGAAATCATTCATGCCTGCAATGTAAAGAAATAACATATTAATTCATCAAACTAACTTAGGGAAACACACAATTTCTTACACACACTTTCTTACTTCCTGGTACGTTGTGCCAATCAGCTCCGTTGATAATATTGTTGTATCTGAGGAAATCTTTGTTGTGGCAGGGCCGTCTGTCAGGGTTGGACATCACCTAGTGGCGAACAGGCACATACGTCACTATGGTAATTATGTCCAATCCTTAGTTTCACGTCAGCAAGAGAAAAAGGATGAACCTGATTGGTGCTGGCGTACGCTGTGGCCAACCAACGGAAGAAGCTCTCGTCAGGGGTGGGCGTGTGCTCACGTGGAGCCCAGTCACGGGTCATATCGTACGGGTAGGTGACCACCAGCTCTCCTCCGTGCAGGTTGGCACTGAGGACGAAGGGGATATTCTGCATCCAGTTAATGACGGCACGAGTCTCAGACGCCACCTGAAAAGGCAAGGATAAAATCAGAAGACTATTTCTCTGTAGTTTAAACACACTTAAGAAAAAAAGGAAATCTGTGTGTCAAAAAGTGTAAAAAATCTAATGTCTGAAAGCAAACATGAACATTTAGCAGATTGGCAAATGTCTGCAACATGCAGCCTGTTCATGACCGACTCAATGACTGAGTTATTCTGTAGATAAACATGTGTAAAACTTACAAAAGCCTCCTCAGAGGTATACATTTCAGGTATAGGAAAGTAATGGTTGATGAGTTTGGACCGATCTGTCTCCAGCTCGATGGCCGTCCACATCACTGAGTTGAGGTCGGCAAAGTTATGGTTCATGTCGATGCCTTCATAGCTGAAACGACCCAGAGCCCAACCTGCCAGCTCCGAGCCCTGCAGGTCACAGGAAAAGGAAACAGTTCAGAAATAAAAAAACTTTTACAGAAATGATTTCTGATTCAGTTTCATCTTCATAAAACCAGGGACCTTTTTATACGCAATCTCATATCCATCTGGATTCATGGAGGGCAGAAGGTGGATGCGAGTCTCTTTGATCAGATGGACGATGCGCTGGTTTTCACGTTTATATTCTTGACACATGTACTGCATCAGATTGAGCACAAGTTCCCGACCCAACACTTCGTTCCCATGCATCCCCGCCACATACCTAAACTCTGGTTCTCCTGCAGAGTGTGCCCAAACAGAGACACAGGTCATTGTTATATATAGCACACTGTAATACTGTACCAGGGTTATTTATCTCTCTTTAAATTACTAAAAAAGTTCAGATGGTAACATTTATGGCAGGTTTATTGGCACATATTGAATCAACCACCGACAAGTAGCGTTTTGTTGGAGAGAAACTCATCTTGGCACATCAGCTTAGCAGCCTAAACAAATGTGCATTCAGGTTGTGAGCTCTGACCTCAATCTTGATTCATAAACAAACTTGTAAATAAAGTTTACATCCTTCCTATTATTTTAAGGCCAGGCTCGTTCCCTGACGCACTTAAAAGGAAGAGGGGTTAGAGGAGAATCCTATATTGGTTGTCATTTGAAGACTCACCAATAGATGTCAGTAAGTCTTATATACTGGAACATCAACTACGGACTGTGGTTTCAATGGTGTGTGTTTGTTTTCGAGGGCTGTTCAGACCGCACCGTAAATGCCAGATGTGTGCAAATACCTTGTGTAAACAGATTTTACAGTTTTCACAAATACAGTACAGCTGATTTCTCTCTATCACCACAGGTGTGTCTGTGGTTTCCTTATTTCTTTAACAGTACTGTGTAGTAGTCTAGTATTTTCTCCACAAAATCTGTGGTCTCTCAACAGAAACGGAATACATTTTATGAAATGGTACCTTGTGTTGAGTATTAAACAATACTCACTACTAAGTACTAAACATACAAGCAAACATTAACTGAATAATAACAATAGTCTGAATTAAATAAATCTATAATAAAAAAAATCCAACTTTAGCCTTTAAGAAAGAATGACCTCACCTTCACTGACATAGATTCTTATCAGATCTTATCACAACAAATCATATGGATTAATGATCAATGTAACAACCATGACAGGTGTAGGCAATGCTCTTATAATAGTTCAGTAGATGAAATGTCCTCTGATCACATTCCACCTTACTTGACACCATGGACTGTAAAAGAACCTGGATTTGTTTTTCTGTTCAGTTCACATACATTAAAGTCACGTGTTCCTCTGAAATCTCACACGTACCCTTCAAAAGTGTTCACTTCACTGCTCTGGTTTTTTGAGTTTTCTGAGTTTTTTTATTAACATCACATGAGTATACACACGTGAAAATGCAACTGACTGAACTTGAGATGAAAAAAGGAATAGCAAAATCCAACCTTTAAATATACAGTATATCTAACTCCATCTGCTCATCTGTACTGCCTTCAGTGTCGTATTGTGGCGGGAAACATCCTGCCCCAACTCTGCATTAACATGTGAACTGAGCTGCGCTGAGCTGAGGTGATGAGGCCAAAGAAAACATTTTAAGCCTCAGGGGCAAATGCAGAGAAGCTCTGGCCTGAACACATTTAGGTTTCACACAGTGCTGGACTGTCTAGTTTAGATATGGAACACACTGGACGCTTATGTGGACATTCCTGCCTGGACCTGACCTGATGACCCTTATAACCAGCCTGCAAAAGATCTGTTGCTGATTAGAAAGGCAACATGTCAGCACATGACATTTCTTAATTTAATGAAAACACATCTTGTAGTGAATGCCTTGCGGTTGTATTGGGGAAGAAGGAATTTTTAGGCCTTGTTAATGCTGGATCATATAAAAAAAACGAATTATTCAACAGTTTTGCCCTTACAGCCTTCTGTCAGTCCCTAAAATAAATGAAACTTCTCAACTGAAGCTGAAATCAGTTATCTCATCATGTCTCACCCAGTTCATGTTTCCCAGGGTTGTCAGAGATCTCCATCACATACAGCTTCAGACCTTTGTAGCTCTTTCCGATGCTGTAAATACGAGTGATGTCAGGACACTCCTCGTGCACCAACTTCATCAGCTGTTGGCAAAAAATGTGTCAGCTTCGTTGTTATGTAGAAGGTTGATCTATTTCTATTTAAGTGCATCTTTCAGAAGAAGATGAAAAAAAACTAATCCACATGAAAAGATATAAAAGTTGTTTCCACGTTTTTGACATTAGTGTTGCATCTCCCTTATATCTTTCGCCAGAAATCCACCAGTAATAGAGTTTCTTTATGGAAATAAAATACCAGCGAGTCTATTAAGGAAGAGGCCAGAGAGCTGGTGAATCTTATAATGGAATAAACATGAAAGAATTCTGGAAAATAAATCATTTATTCCAGGAAACGTCTGGTAATGACAGAGTGTAACCGTACATTTCCACAGCTCGTGACGGCCTCTGGGCATCCATTTAGACAAAGCGACAGCAAAAAGGCAGAGATTTGGTTATGGGCAATGCAGACGCATTGAAGTAACCCTTTAATGAGTGTGCTAATTAAGGCTACACTGAAATGTCATTTATAGTCTGTCATATAGCTTTTTCTCTGTAGAACAATAAAGACTAAGTACAGTTAGCTCTGAGAATAAGAAATGCTGCTGGATTTGGTGTGAATCAAAAACTAGGGGCTAATCTCAGCACCACCTCACAGGTGTTTCATATAATCTTTGGTCCTGGGCTCCTTGAATTCTTGTGAATGTATAATACACCACTGTACCTTTCTCATCTCCATATAGTTGTGGTGTCTGAAGTCCAGCTTGTCTCTGGATTCTGTCGGCTCTGTCAGCCACGCGTAGTTGTTGTTTGGATCTGTGAGTAGTAAAAGTTGGGATAAAGTTGTTGGAAAAATTCATGAAAAAAATGGAAAAATTTAAGGTAAAACATTTTAAACCTGGGAGAGGGCAGCCGAGGACCTCAGCTCTAAGGCAAATGTCGCCCTGTGTCCCATTTTGGTACCAGGTCTGAGGGTTGATCCGGATGAAACGGGCCACCGTGGACACGTTGAACAAAGCGAGCACGGGGGTCTCTGTGTCCTGGTTTCCTTCAAAGACCTACAAAGAGGCAGAGTAGGGAATTATCAAATATGAACTAAACTCTTGCACAAAGTACAGATTAGATGATAAACAAACAAAAAAAGAAGAGAATGACTCACAGCCTCTTTGGTCCCATTCATACATGGCTTCCAGACCACAGAGTCGTTGCTGAACTGCACCTTGTAGGTGTGAACCACATCCCAGCTGTTGTGTAAAAAACATCAAAGTCTGACAGCACATTGTGGTTTGACAAGCAACATGGAAGTCTAAAGATAAAAAAAAATCTGAATTTTATATCAGGATAAAGGAATAATACTAATCCCCATATTCAAATATTGCTTCTACAAAACCCTACATTTTTCATGTCTTAAAAAAAAAAGAATAAACAATTCCCAATCATCATGTTCCCAGACATCATGTTCTGACCTCCAGATGGAGCTGCGACCCTGCAGGATGATGCCAGTAAAGCGAGTCAACCTCCGGGCGTCAACCTCGAGCCACTGGTTCTTGTCTCTGTATTGCGCACACCAAGCTCCATCATAGATGTCTCCGTCCTCTATCCCTGACTGATGCAAACACACAGAATAAGGGTGGTGTACACAAAATATGCTTCAATATCAATTTTGACTTGTGTGGTCACCTGAATGTTGAGGCGGCCACGGTGAGGGCCCAGACCCCTACGTTTGTAGGACGATGCTTTCAGCTGGTTGTCCTTAACTCTTAGTGACTCCAGACCCAGGGGAGGACATTCTGACACAGTCAAGGAAGCATTAGCCACAATTTCATCAATTACAAAAGTAGAAAAATATATTATAACTAAATGTGGACTGATTTAGGATTAATTATGTTAGAAGCCTCGGTAATAACCAAATTTACTATTTGATTAAAGTAAAATAGGAAGCTTTTTAGAGTCACAAATCTGTATGATACATATGTTATTATTTATATGAAGTTGTTCAGCACATTGAAGTAAAAGTGCTTTGGTTAATATGTCTTTAAGTCTGACCCACATCCTCAACAGCTGAAAAACTCAGCGGAAACATATGTAACTACATGGTTAATTTCTGCATCATTTAGTTTAACTAATCACTTCTTACAGTTTATTCCATTATGGTCCAGCTGTATCAGCCATGACTCAAAAATTTGACTCAGAGCCAAGAGTCTTTCTGTTGTTGCTGCTGACCACTGCATTTCTACTGAGCCAGAAAACCGAGGCTGCTGCCCGGAAGGCAAACACATTTAGATGATTGTACATTAAAACAATTCAGATAATATGGGTGAGATAATTAGGTGAAAAACTAAACTCCGGCAGCTGGTGGTTAAACAAAGACAAACAGATGTTTTGCGGAGAGAACAATATTAATACGATCTCAGTTTAGGTCTGTGTCAGAATGTGTGGAGTTAAGCCTGGTTCACAGACTAGACTGGACATTTAATGAGGATCAGCACTGACGGCTGTCATCTGACAAGCTGCTGAGTGAGCATGGATTCTAAGGTTATACCTAAACACACGCAAATGGTAATGGTTCCAGATCTGACAAATACATGCTTACACATAAATGTGTAGAGGACTATGTAAACAAGACAGATGACAGACAAATCAATGGAGATTTGTTCTTGCTGAAGTACCGTAGGATACAACACTGTAACTGTTTTTGAATTAGTATTATTATCTAGTATCAATGTTATTAACTTGTGAAAAACAGAAAGAGTAAAATCAAAAGCAGAGTCCAGGGTTCACCGGCTGCTTTGAATATACAGTATGTAGTACTTCTCAACGGAAGCTACAGAAATCAGATCTGGGCCAGAACTGAAATTAGCAAATAGTTTGTGACGTACAAGGGCTTTCATGGGTGGATTTCTGTCCAAGAGAATATGCCCTCAGGACAGAAGTCCTTTGGTAAGACCACGTCCTACCAAAGTAAGCCTTTGGAGAAAACACCAAAAACTGTTTGCTAGTGGAGTTGGCCATGTCTGATTCATATACTGTATATATTTTAAAGGGCTATTCCCAATACATACATACGTGTCACCCTTTGTATGCTGGTCCCTGATTGGCTCGCACTTTTCTTAACCTGAGGTTTGGTTTTCTTAACAACTTTTGCCTTCTTGATGACAACTCTGTGTTTCTTCGTGAGGATATTGGACTTCTTTACAACGCTCCTGGTGGATCTCTTTGCTATAAAAATGTAAACGATTTAGGAACTTGAGGAGTTTGTATTTTGTCAGACAAGGTTAGTCATTATTTAAGTTTAGAGGAACCATAGAACGAAATGCTTAGACTACAAAGCTGATCGAGATTTGGTAATATGAAAAAAACATATTAAATAGTGAATAATTTCCAAACAACAATTTCTATACAGAGATTTTGATCTTCCTCACAAAGTTATCTAGTTTCTAGTTGAGTGGATAAGAACATTAATCAAAATGAAATAAAAACAGATGCTATACCTTGCTTTGCTAAAAAACACCTTTAAACATTATGCAGTATTTGTAGTATATATTTTATCTGGTATCTTGTAAAACAAGATACGAAACCGGACAAATTGTTTCATGTACATGATTCAAACTATTAACCCGTTTGAAGAATGTGAAAGGAACGGTCTGAAATGTGGCATTTATAAATGACCTTAGTTTTGGGGAGTGAAGCAAGTTTCAGGAATACTGTTTTCTTTACTCATCACCGTCCAGCATCTGGTTTCCATCAGCAGAAAACACACATGGCTGAGGCTGATCACCACTGCTCACAGAGTAGAAAGACCATCCTCCCCCAACCCCTCGGACACTGATCTCTTGACCACAGATATGCAAAACCCAACAAAGCTCTTTTCATCAATTTCTGCCAGCAGGGATCCCGGACCAACATCCTCAAGACCCAACTCTGAGTAGGTTACTTTACACGCAGAATCTGTGGTCGTTAGTGTTTCTTGCACATTCTTCATTGTTCATACTGTATATTTAGATGTTCAACCAGAATATTTTAATCTATTTAATATAAATTATTATTACTTGAACTGAAGAGATCAGACTGCAACACTGACACTGTATCGATCTTATCAAAGCTAATTCTAGTTCATGACAAAATAAAAAAAACAATTTATAACATTATTTTTTAATCTGATGTGATTATTTTGTGCTGCAAAATTATACTGTGATTAATTTACTAATTTTATAATTATTTTATTATATGAAGTTTTTGTAAATATGTGATTAATTATATTAATTAATCTGCAATTAATTCAAATAATACTGTTATTGTCTTTCTTTCTTTCTAATCACCGCAGATGTTTTTCCTTTTTAAAACAATTACACACATGAAGGCAAAATCAAGGTAATGGAACAAATCAATACAGCAGTGCCAAAAATATAATGCATACATATTCTATAATACAGTAACGTTTGTTAAATACTTACCAAATTCTGGAGGACCTTCTTCTTCTTCATCTTTTTCAGTGAGGTGTTTGGTGATCGCTGGAGGTCGAGTTGTTGTCTTGTTAACCCTGGTTGTAAATGAAGTAGTGGGATCACTGGTGGTCTTCACAGTTGTCCCTGAAAAAGGGCTCAGAATTGCATTAGAGGCTGCGTCAAAGTCCACATCTGCAGCTGAGATAAGGACAGATGATCCAGACAGAAGCAGAACCATGTGCAAACCCAGCACTGCCATGGTGGTTCTGAACACTGAGAACACACTCATTCAACACACACTCTGTGACCTGTTGATGTCAAGACCCATGAAAATACTTTCACTGTCTTCCTGCCATCGGTTTGAAAAATAAAAGCTGGGGGCACATGTGGGGTGTAAAGTGAATTTGAGCATCTCAAATGTTTGTTTCAATACTTAATCATTTTTACAGCATCTAACCTCAAATTGTTTTTTAGATAAATCAATGTTAAATATCTATCAATGTTTCCCAAACAACAAAACAGTTACGTACTCAACTGACTTTAAATGTGCAAGTGACTAACAAAGGCTTTTATTTTGAAGAACAAAGGTGAACTCTCACCGGTTTGCCTAAAATAATTCAATACAAAGTTACATCATTTTGGATTTATACAATGATAAATACTTTTTACTATGAGTTTGCAAATCCATTACTAATACTCCATATATTTAAAAAAAAAACCATTAAACTTAAAATGATGGTAGAACAGTGACACCTGCTGTTTTTTAAGTGTATGTAATATTATATCTTAATTTAAGTGTAATTTTTATTTAACTAGAGCCCATTACGGAATTTTAAAGAAAGTGTTTTGCTAAAACCAGTTCATGGACAGATTAAAACATTCCAGGCTGAGACATGGAACTGATTTTTTCTCTTGCACGAATACCCACCAATACACATTCCTGGTGCTACAATACCAGTATTATTCTATTTTATTCAAAATTATACTGAAACCTTAGTGGCCCACAGTTTATCACTGCAAGTTACAGAGAATTATCATCAACCTATTTATATCATAACCACGTTTAAGAAAAAAAAAAAATACAAAAAAGCTATTTATCTACAAAAACAGGAAAATCAAAACTTAAATCTACAATGAACAATTCGCAGTCTGAATGACTTTTTTAACCTAACTCAATTCAAAGGACATCTGTCTGGATACAAACAGCAAACCAACATAGAGACTTACACTGGGGCTCAGAGCCTGAGGTAAGAGGATATATATACTTAACAAAGGATTTCCAGCAATTATACTTACCAAAGCTTTAGTCAATTTGACAGCAATGAGTGTCAAAGGTTGAGTCAAAGGTCGTGTAAGCTTTGCTGTATAAAATGCACTAAAGAAGTTGTGGCTGTTTTCACAGTGAGAAAAAATATTTTTTAATTAATGGAATAACAATACATTTGAAGTGGAATGAAAGCTACTTATTTAGCTACAGAAACAGAACTGCTGGTAATAACTGTCAACATTTAGCTGAACTTTCTTTATTTCTGCTTTACAAAAATTAAAAAAACAACAACTGTACATGTTTATGTATAACAGACACACACACACACGCGCGCACACATGCAGCTAAATGTATTTAAGGTTGTGACTGAGTGAAGCGACAAGGCCTTTACAACTGCATGAAAAGCAAAAAAAAAAAAAAGTCCAGAGAGAGAAAAATTTAGGGTAAGTAACTTAAGGTTTCCAGAGCTTTAAGAGTCCATCTTCACTATAGGTGCTGATCAGGTTCTGGTGAGGGTGGTGGGCAATGCCAATCACATCTTTTTCATGGACCTGAAAAGTACGTAGTCAGATATTAGCTAAATGAGAATGCTTTGTCTTTGACTGATGTTAATACCATCATATCTGCTTCTTAGTCACCACTCAGATCAAAACTTTAGTCGAAACTTTTGTTCAGTAGCAGCAGAGGGAATAAGCATGGGATATTTTGGGAAACCTTTGATGCCTGATGCCTCTGAGGCGCAGGAACGTACCGTCAGCGTTCTCTCCAGTTTGCCTGTGACTGTGCTAAAGCAGTACAGCACAAAATCTTCACCCACGCAGTAGATCCACTCGCCGCGGGGTGACAGAGTGCAGCACACAAAGTCTCCGCCTTCTCTCTTACCAGAGCTGAAACTTCTGACGATCTGACATCGGCACAAACACAGGAAGGTGATAAGTCAGGCAGGTGAAAGATTTCATAACCATGGTTACATAATAAAAAAACAAAAATAAGAGTTCTGTTAGGACAAATGTCTGTTTGAAAAGAAATGACAAAAAATAAAACATTTTGTTGTTCTTGGTCTAAAAATTACTAAAAAAACTCTTTTCAAATTAAAATGTATTCTAACTGGCTCTCATATTGCTTATCATTTAAAAAAATAATGCATTATGGACATTTGTTTCCAAGTGAGGAGCAAGCCAAACCGGCAACAACCCACAAAACTGATGGGAATAATGAAATAATAAAAATTAAAAGAGGACACAGATAAATGTGTGCTAATGCTATTTACATGGTAAAATAATTTAAAATTCTCACGATGAACAAAAATAAATACAAACAATTAAAATAATACAATACAAATTTTACAATTGTGATTTGAAATTTTGCAGCTTACCTAACCTTACTTAATAACCTTACCTTATAACTAAATAGTAACAAGAAGTGACATTTTCTTTTCTTATTAAAAACTGAATAATATAATAATTATAAATAATTATAATAATTTATAATAATTATAATAATACAAAACAGTACCTGATCTCTGAGTAGGGGGAGAACATGGGATTCATAAAATTATGACACAAGAAGAACCTAATTTATCTTCAAGGTGTAGCAGCCTGTGAGCATTTTCAGTAGCTGTTTTGTACTTAGTTGAGGCAGTGGTTTCACTAACCTGTCCCTGCATGTTCATGATGACCACAGTGTTGGAGCGGTTACACACTACAAAGTGCTCTGGGTTCTTTGGCAGCAGGATCACATTGTTCACTGTGATGTCAGTACCCACAGAAGAACCTAGAGGTTTGAATGTGCTGGTGCACTCCGTGGTCTTCACATTCCACATCTAAGAGTAACGGAAAAAAACAAGACTGTTAGATTTACTGTGTCATGTTGTAATTGCTGAATATTAGACTGTCCATGATGGTAAGGTATGTATTACAAAAACTTAAACTACTTTTTCAGACAGATTAAATCAGACAGATACACATTCACAAAGTTTTTTAAAATGTCATCAATTATCTTCTTAAATGTTTTCTAAAAACAGAATACAAAGGTAATGTAGTGATGTCTTCTATTTAGTGGGTGCTCGTCTTACCTTCACTGTACCGTCAGAAGAAGCACTGATAATGTGGTGTCCATCTGGAGTGAAGGTGGCTTCATTTACAAAGGATGAATGCCCGCGAAACTCCTTCAGAGTCTTTCCAGATTTCAGCCCCAAGATTCTTGATGCAAATCGAAAAAGGGACAAAAAAGAACATGCATCAGTCAAAACATTTGCTCAGAACAAAGTATCTATCTACTCAGCCAGACTTTTCAAAGGCCATGATGCAAAGTAGAGCTATAACTACTTTACTTAATTTAGGGCATGTATGTTACATTCACATTTATTCTAGTAGTGTTAAATTTACCTGATGTTTTTTATTGAATTCAAAGTCAAATCAAGTCAAATTCATCATAACAAAAACCTCAGTGTTATCATCAGCAGACAGAAGTAAAAGTTTCTGACTGCAAACTTCATTTAGCTGCTTTTAGCTATAGACTTACCTGATTGTCTGGTCAAAGGAGGCACTGAGGAGCTGGCTGCTGTCTTTACAGAAGGTGATACATGTAACTCCTTTACTGTGCGCTCTCTCAAACCTTCTCAGACACTGACCACTCTGGATCTTCCACACCTAAACCCACAACATTATTGACACAAAGAAAACAACTCCTATACAACACAACTCCTCATCATTTTGGTTGTAAATCTATCTTTTTAAACGTACTATGTATTTTAGGACTGAACAAAACAGAGCTAGAATGGACAATCAGCCTTTTCTTTTACCTTGATTTTTCCATCCTGCGCTCCAGTGGCCAACATCTCTGTGTCTCGACTGAAGCACATACACAACACTGCATCATCCATCATCATGAAATTATCTTGAGCCTGGTACTTGAGATCCTGCAGGACAGGGTTAAGATTTATTCAAAATCCATGACAATAAATAAACTTTTGCAAATGTTATTTGGGTGGTCTGGTTTTGTACCTTTCTGATTTTGCCTGTGGTGAAGTTCCAAACCTCAATGAAACCATCCACAGAGCCAGTGACCAGGTACTGACCATCAGGGGAGAACCGTGAACACTCCACATGAGATTTCTGTCCAAACTGTAAACGGCAGAATTCACATAAGATGTTTAAAGCCAAAAAGGACCTCCGGATCACATCCAAGAGAACGTAAAAACAACAACAGTACCTTGATGTGTCTGCTGAGTTGAGTTGGGAAGCGTTCCTCCTCCACATCTTTCACAGCAGCTTTACCTCTGAACAAGTCAATGGTCATACCAGGAGGAAGGAGACCCTGGTGCTGTTGCCACTTCAGTGACTGGTGAAGAAGAAATACACTGACATTTTACCACCAGCAACAAACAATAAACTTGAACTCCAGGTTTTTTAACACTGACCTGTCCCAGCAGAGCTAAGAGACGAGATGGTGGCACAACACTGACTTCTCCAGCCAGAGCCTGGGCAATGGCGGCTCGACGTTTCTCTTTACTGCTGCCATCAGGATATGCCTACACCAAACAATACAAGTACTGAATGCACAATAAAATATGTATTTTTTTTATTTGCCTATTTACAACTCACTACTTAATCTACTGTTGCTTTAATGGAACTGAATTCCATCAAGACTATTTGCTGCGGTGTTTGTTTCTGTGCCTCCATACAGGACCACAGATCTGTACAGCTATAAATAAAGGTATAGAAATAAAACTACCCTGTTCTGTCTGATGCCCTAGAAAACAACCTAACTCAACTGAACCAAATTCTATCTTGATGCATGGTTGCCTTAGTCCTTACCTCTCTGGGATCAAAGTACGAACGTGCCAGCAGATTCTCCAGGTGAATGTATCTCTCTGGTTGGGTTTGTTTGAGCATGATCATGGGGTCTGTCTGCCTGAGAAGTGAGCGAGCTGCACCCAGTTCTCTCAGCTCAATCAGCTCTAACACAACCTGGTAAGTACAGGAAACAAGTCTTTAATTGTTACAGTGAAATTTCACTGGAGCATTAAACATGAAATATGTGCATTATGTCATGATTGCAGAAACATTAGAGGGTGAATGAGAATGAGACAATGACTAGAGCACCAGTCAGACTACATACAACATTGATAATATTACATTTATTTTACAATCTGAAAACAATAAACAGTTGCCATAAATTAATGAGTACAAAATCCCACAAATGTGAAACCTGTACAGCAGACTAATTACAACCCAGTGATTAGTATGTCTGAACTTTAGATGTAACTAATAACATACTTAAAACCAGTTTATTTAAACCTCACCTGTTCATAAAGGTCTACAAGGGTTTTATCAGGCAGCTTGAGCGACTGGATGGCTTGCAGAACTGTGTCCCAGTGACCACTGTTGATGTCTGCCACAAAGCTGTCTATACTGTCCACAGTGTTCAGAGAAACTGTTGTCTCTTCTTGCAAACTGGCCAGAGTGCGGTGCAGATTGTTTTCTTTAAGGTACTGCATTATCAGACGGATCACGCTGAGAAAAAAAGATGAGGTTAGTAAAGAACGTAAACATTTAAACAAAAAAACCCAATTACATATAATGCGACTCAAGTATGTTTATTTTAAGTGTTTGCAAACGATACTTTCAAGTTGGTTGGTTACTTGTCAAAAATAGTATTAAATTAAAATGACCAATGCCAATTGTGAGAATGAGGACCTACAACTCCTTTAATTGCAATTAACTGCATGCATTCAAATAGTTATTAGAAAAAGCACAACTAATAAATGTGTATTTTGGCTTCCTTGTATTTGTTGTTTTGACAGTGTTTTTTGGTTGTTGTCTTATTTCAAATGGTTGGAATGCATAATTTAGAATACATCTCACACGTGCGTGACATAGGAGAGATCTGTTTATTGGGTACAACGATATTTATTTACGGAACGGTGTCTCCGCGATAATTTTACTACAGGTCACTGGTTGCAAAAACCCGGAGTGCTACTATAGCTAATGCTAACGTTCTTTGCTCACCATTAATGTCCGTTTGGTTCTCGTTTACAATATACAGACTTACAGTAAAAGTGTAAATACAATCAATACAATGTATTGCAACAAGTAACATGTTAAACATTTACTTTATATAGAAAATGTGCATGCACAATGTCCACAGAGTCGCTCACAACCTGATTTGGGTTAGCTTAGCTTAGCTTGAGTCACTACTGCCGACACAAGTTGCTGTAGGCCCTTGTAGCAGAAACATCTACAAAGTGGAATTTATAACAAGAAGTAGGTAAGAAAAACGTTCCAAAAAACGCAAATGACTTACTCCGCAGATTCCACCTCCAGAGACATAATTATTTATTTAGGATCAATGTCAGAATGAAGTATAAAGAAGCAATGAAGAGGCAGCATGCAGGAAGGACGCAAATACGGAAATAAAAGAGTGCGTCTGGGACTTTCAGAATAAAAGTTTTGAGAAAAAAAACGATGTAAATGTGGTCTCAAGTTCAGCATATTTCCGTACATGCTGAATCTTTATACAAAGATGTTGATCAACTGCACCTCTCCATATTTATCACACTTAACCATAAAATAATGAACAATAAGATGTGCCTAAAAACTAAATAAAACTCATAAAACTAAATGACACAAAAGTAATTTTTAACTCTTGTTGGACTAAAACCACATCAGAGCAAAAAATTGGTTGTTTTATTGACACGCTTTGGTGTGGAAAACTAAAGAAACTATGTTTTCTGAAACACAGAAGTAATTATCTAAACGGGTAATCAAAAATACATTTTTAGCCAAAATACAAATAGCCATTTTTTTAAACAAATACATATAGGTGAGTTTAAATTGTGCCCTTTATTTCTTTTCACTAAAATTGTTACTTATATTCTTTGAATAATCAGTGTTTGGCTTAGAGTAATAAAAACGTTTATTGTCTAATTCATATCATTCTGTTTGACAGGTGTTTTAATGATTTATTATTGTTTCTATTAAATTATTTTAAAAATGTTGCATGCTTTTGGTGTAGACTATTATCTTAAGTTTAAAGGGCATAACATTCAACATTTCTTTGAATTTTCATTTTCCTCCAAGATGACCAATGGGAGGTGCTATCTGCACAGCTTTTGCTCAAAGGTTCTCCCTCCGTCCAGTGAAGGTCGTTCAAGGGTATGATCACGATGATGACGATGCACCACTTCAGTCTGCAGTCCCAGGGCCTGTTGTTTCTGCAATCATGACATAATCCCACTCTGAGCCCAATCCACACTAGAGATGGATTTGGCAGCAAGAACACAGCAGACAGCGCTTGGAATCATTAGCCTCTGCAGATGGAGGAATATACAGAGAAGGGATGGCGTGAAGAAGGGAGGAGTGTTTTCATACCATACAGTGCTGTCATGCAGCAGTCATTCTGAATGCATGGCCACATGAGCAGAAGAGAGACATCAGGGATGATTTTGTGTTCTACTGGACTGACAAGGCAGACTGTTTGGAAAATTAGTGAAAGAGGCATCACCACCATGCTGGAAGAATGACAGCTACACAATAGGCTGTAATGTAATCACGTAATGTTTTTCGAGAAAAGAAAGGAGACTTCTACATTTTTGTGAGGCTTAATTAGATTACCATCTAAATTATCATAATTAGAGCACATTACACCAACAAAGACACTTTGACTGAATATCCCATGCAACCTTAAAACATTGTAGAATCCCTTTTTGAAGTAAATTCTTAGAGATAGTATTCAATAATTATTCTAATCTAAATTTTAGATTTTTTTAACTGAGAACCTATAAGAAACTCTTACAGAAGGAATAATCTTGACTGCATTATTATTATTATTATTATTATTATTATTATTATTATTATTATTATTATTATTATTATTATTATTATTATGCCATTGGGTTAAATAGGGTTGATAGTAGCAAATATTGTAACCCTTTCTACTCTTCCTCACTCTATCCCTCTTCCCTTCCAATCCCTCCTACTTCTCTTTCTCTTTCCTTCCCCCTTGCCTTTCCTATTTCTGTACTTGCCTCTAGTCTTTTCATCTGTCCTTTCTTCTTTATCCATTTCTTGTGCTAATTAGAACTGTAATTTCCCAAGCATTGGGATACAGCACTACAGTGTTTCTAATAGAAACAAGAAACAGCTGACCAAGCTAAGGCAACAGTGAACTCACAAATGTGTTGAACCTTTGATGAATCACCAACCAAAGAAACAATCTTGCACAAGTGTTGGAGTCATTTATCTTGTCTTTGTAATATTTAGTGATGGAAGACGACTTCATCACACAAAAGTCAATTCTAAATGTGAAGACTTAAGCAGCATCACTGTTTATATTAACAAATGTGAATGTGCAGGATAAGCACAGTGGGAAACTGATACAAACCTCACTGCAAGGGGGTTGGAAAACAGACAAAACCATCAGAAAACTGAAAACCAAAAACCTTTTTACGAGAACAAAACAAAATAAAAACAACAACACCCCAGAGCACCGAGAGTCGTACTGCAGTTGACTCTACAGCATCAAAATTCAAATGAGCTGGCAGCACTACTTTATTTCATTGCCTTGTAGCCCAGTTGATTGGGGAAACACAGGTGTACATGATGGACTTCCTGAGCAGATGCTTGTGACCTGAATAGATGCTGATGATTGGAGGGGAAAAAAAGATTACTTTAAAATAACACTGTGTCCTTAACAAATGGAATGTTGGCTGTTTCTGCCTAGATTCTTTTAACTATTACAGAGCAAAATTATATGTTCATAACTGATGTACCAGACATACCAGAGTTTCCGAATCATTTGCAGACATTTTTTAAAGATAATTCTCAGTAAAACTCACATAACGTTCTCAATCTTAAATATCAATCTTAAATGTCACAACATTACTAATGCAATCGTCATATTCTATTGGTTTAGTTAGAGGGTACATGTAAGTTTTAGGATATCTGCAGAGGTCAAAGTTCAAACTATGTGACATTAGACACCACAGTCATAATTAAATATCTCTTCTCTAGATTTTAATGGTTTCACTCCAAATCGTTGTGCTGTACCAAATATCTAGCATTTATGTAACCCAAAAAATAAATATTGGACATGAAGTCAAACCAACTCAACCATTCTTTATGTGAATATCCACAGTAACTTAATACAAAAATACAATTCAAATTTGCTGTACAATTCATAGGGTTTCCATTAACCGCTGGATACAGACCAGCTGAGCAAAACAACCGGCTTTTTTCTCCATCTTATTCTACTTTTGTTTTTCCAAAATCTTTGCCCTGGAGTATAACCAGGCCGTCTTATAAAATGAAAAGGGTCCATTAACTTGATAAACAACTTTTTACTCCTAGCTCATGTGTAATTTATCAATCAATCAGGCCTGAGGTAGCAAAGGTAGCTGGCAAAAGCTATGGTCTGTGTGGAAGTGTTTGTATAAGTGGGGGGTGTCAGTAATGGGGTTGCTGCTGATGGCAGTAAGGCAATAAAGCTTGAGGGATTTGCCCCTGTAGGCTGTTTACCTCTCGGGTCTGCGCTTCAATCTATTGGACAAGTCTGCTATTCTGAATAGATGCATTGGAAAAGACAAAAGGGACTCGTTGAGAAATCTATATTGATGTGTTCAAACGTCCGACACAAACACAGAAATAAACACTATTGCTCTGGCTATACAGTGGCATTTATTTTGGTGAGAGGAAACACATACACACACTCAGACAAAGACAGAATCTGGTTTTCTGGTGCAGTGACGCACAATGAATTACGGGTCGTTGAGGTGACGAAGCACCGAGCTGGAAATGGGATTGTGCACATAAGAGAGTGCATATGTGAACTGATATGTACTCATCTCTAAGCTGCCTGGATAAGGGCCACACACAATGGAGCATGTTTTTACCTGCGACAATGCATACGTATGAGAAGAAAGATATCTCTTTAAGCCTGAATATGACTACCTCTCTCACTTGACTGTAAATGCTCCATAGCAGAAAAACAGACAAAAACCACAACACAACACTGACACAAGGCTAGACACCAGTGGTTGGATTTAAGTGGGATGTAGTGGGGGGAGTTATGCTCACTGGTCTATTTCTTTACTGTTAAATTGCCTGACCTCATGCACATCTGACATCAAAAACTTCTAGTATATTCTTTTCTATTCTTTCATTTTAAAATGCACCAGAGAGCTGAATGGCTACCGGGGCCACACATATACAAATCTTTTAAAGGAAGGAGCAATAAAAATGAGCGTTTGGTAAGCTGTGTTTGAGAAACACACACACAAAAAAAGTTCAGGTGAAAATCATGGACAGGATTCAAAGGTGAAAGAAGACTGGGAAATCAAGGCCATAAAAAACATAATAGTTTCAAAGGCTTTTCTGTGCTTTTATACTTGCTGAACTTTTGATACTAAGATACTTTATTCTCAGTGTGCTTGAAATGAATAAGGCCATATGACAAAGTATTTGAAAACATCTGAAGGACAAACTCTAAACTCCTCCCAAAGGCCACAGTGAAAAAACCCTGCCACACACCTCTGGTGATGATAACAAGCTGTGTTGAAATGGAAAGAACAAAAGAGTCTACCACGGGCATAATTTTGAACACCAAAGTTAATTAAAAGGGAATTAAAAAAAAATAGACAAAGGAAAAAGCTGCAGGGTGTAACTTCATTCAGTCAACCTACGCTTATTCCTTTTTAGGGTTGAAGGCAAGGCTTGAACCAATCCCAGCAGTCATTATAAAAGAGTGAAGCAGAGAGTAACTTTCCAAATCCAAATAAACTTAATGCACAAAAGGACCTTTGAATTATGCAAAGACTAAGAAGCCAGGGAGGAAACACAACAGCAACGATGCACTAGTACTGAAATGTGAGCAACAAGTGGAGCATGGCTGAACAGACCAGGTAGCAGCAAGAATTCCAGAGAGTGGATTCTAGTGCCATAAAACGGACTTTCAATGGTTTGACAGAATGAACTGTTGCAACTGAATATTAAAGGAGTGCAGGTGCTTTGAGATTACCTGGATAAAGAAAGCTGAAGCTGTCAAAGATGTCGAGGTTCGATTCTGGCCGCTGGCAAGCCCTCCTTCCCATAACATGTTTTTTCCAAAAGGCTGTACAAAGAATAAAAAAAATGGGCTAGTTGCCTTTCCAAATGTTTCCCTTTTATGCTTGTATAGTCCAAGATGTAGTGTAGAGATTGTTTAATTAAACAGAGATAGATTACAAATTAAGAAAGATATATTTAGAAATTTAGGGAGACAGGGAGTGGCATAAAAAGTGATTTGTGGGAGTTCCCTCTGCAGTCTAGACCTGTAGCACCATCACTACAAGATGGTTTAGGTTAATCTTAAACAGCTCTAATAAAAAAATATTATGTAATGATAAAGTAAACATATTAATAATGTATGTTTCTTTGTGCATTTGCAATGCATGGCAGTAAAATACTTACAAAAACGCATATTG